GACTGGACTGACCTTGAGGGAGCTGGGGGTGGTAACGGCCGACAGGGAGCTCTGGCGTGGGCTGGTCCATGAGGTCACGAAGAGTCGGAGACGACTGAACGAATGAACAACAGATACTGTACAGCTCCAACCTTCCAATTTCTATTGACAAGAAGTGCTAATCTATTCTGATTTTCTCTATGGTCAATAACTCTATCCTATATATCTCTATGGTCACGAAATATGCCGACTTCTTAGTTTATGTTGCGTGTGCCACATACACACAAAGGAACATGCAGCAGGGCGTGGTTAAAAAAATCGGAATTGCTTTACGCAAGCGCACAGACGCCCACACGATTGGCTATCCAAGCAACATTTCCCTGTCTGTCCTTCTCGCGTCAGATGATTGGTTGAGAGTACGCAGTGGGCGGTCCCAATTGCGCAGCCGCAGACCAAGAAGCAGAGCTCTCTCTTTCGAGGGGCGTTCCTCCGCCTTGGCTGTCTGAGTGCGCATGCGTGGTTGTAACGGCCTCAGCCGAAGTGTCAGGAGCTCGGGCTCGGTGTCGGAGCCTCAGGAGGGAAACGGAAGATGGACGAGCTTCAGTCTGCGGAGGAGGTAGCGGGGTTTGAGCGGCGTGCCGTCGCGCTCTTTTCCCGCTTTGGGGAGAGCGGAGAGCGGAGTCGGGAGGAAGGCCTAGTCGCGTGGAGTCCCCTCAGGCGTTGCCATGGAGACGCCGCGGGAGGCCCCGCCCCTTTCCCCATTGTGGCTCCGCTCGTCTCCTCTCCCTTCCCTAAAGGCTCCCCAGTAGCCGCATTAATTCATCAGTGTGGATGCCCCCTTTGTCCTCCTTCAGGGGCCATACTGTCTGAAGGGGAGGAGACCGGTAGCAGAGAAATCCAGTGGGCCCTCCATGTTCTCAAACCCCATTATATGCAGTAGTGGAGTAAAATGTGGTATTTTATATCAAATTAGTATGCTTTTTCAACTTTAAATAAATATATGGATGCAGATCTGTGGATATAGAGGGCTGACGGTATCTTCAAGCAGCAGCAGAAATGTCTGGGGTTGAAAAAAAAGTATTTTATTTGTTGAATTGGCAAACCCATACACGTTTGTTCTGTAATCCCCTCCAGTCAAAGGGGCAGACATTCAGTACCCATCCGTTTTGAAAGGAAAGAGGAAACCTGGTTTGTAAAAAGGCGATGGGGGTTCAACAGGGTGCATCTGCACCAGGCATGGGCAAACTTGGGCCTTCCAGATGTTTTGGACTTCAACTCCCATAATTCCAAAACATCTGGAGGGCCCAAGTTTGCCCATAGGCTGAAGAATTGTGGAGTTGAAGTGCAAAACACCTGGAGGGTCCATGTTTGCCCATAGGGCCTCCCTGGAAGATCTTAAGCTTCGAGATGGTTCATACAGAGAGATATGTTCAGACAGGTAAGCTGGGCCAAAATCATTTTAGGCAGTGGTTCTCAACCTGTGGGTCCCCAGGAGTTTTGGCCTACAACTCCCAGAAATCCCAGCCAGTTTACCAGCTGTTAGGATTTCTGGGAGTTGAAGGCTAAAACATCTGGGGACCCACAGGTTGAGAACCACTGGTTTAGGGCTTTATAGGCTAAAGCCAGCACTTTGAATTGTGATCGGTAACACGCTGGCAGCCACCGGAGCTGGCATAACGGGGTTGTGTGCTCCCTGTACATCGCTCCGATGAGGAATCTAATATTTTTAATATAATATTATAGTATTTATTCATATCCCACCATTCTTCTGATAGCAGCATCCATGGCAGCTATCAAGATGTTAAAAACAATACCAGCAATCAAAGTATAAATATACACTTACGGTTTGTAAATTAAAACATTCAATATCAAAATGTGTTTAAACTGCCTAAAACATCTTTAAAAATCTTCAAAACAGCACCACACAGCCTTAACAACCCAATTCTCATCCATTTGTAAAGACCTTGGTAGAATAGAAATATTTTTATCTGCTGTCCAAAAGACAGCAAGAACGGGGCCATCCTGGCCTCCCTGTTTGGGAGCAGCCACAGAGACCTTCACCTTTCTTACCACTAGCAGCTATATGTGATTGCCACAATCAAGTCATGTGTAAGTATAGTTTAAATAATATATAAATACATCCAAGAATATTAAACGAACCACTGTATTCCTCCCCTCCTTTTTCTTTTTAATGCTATACCTGGTCTGTGGTTGTAGGGGTGTAAGATACATACATGGCTCTTTGAAATTTCTTTCTCTGCAAGAGGTTTACATTGCTGTAACCACTAATATTAAGCAATTGCCTAATTCTCTTAGTTATTGGTAACACTGCTGGTCTGCAATATTTGAGAGGTAATGGTAAAGCATGCATTAACATTGGATTATTCTCCTTGCAACTATATTTTAGCTAATTTTGCACAAAGCAAATTGCACTTTTGGTTTCACATTTTTTTATTTTCTATTTTCTATTTTTAAAGACTGCGTTTATTGTGGATGAAGTAAGCAACATCATAAAAGAGGTAGGACAATGTTTATGACACAGAAATACCCACTTGCCAGTCTGAATCTTTTTGTTAGTACTGACAAGAGTGAGCCCTTTCAGTCAGTGAGATTTACTGATGTGTTGATTCGTCATTCAGCAATTGGTTAACTCTACTCTAGTTGGAACGTACCAACAGAATGCCAGGTGTAATATTTTAACAGACATCATAATGTCCAGTTCTTAAAATATTGATCTTAATTTTGTTTTAAGGAAATCTCACATATATATCTGCTGTGTCATTTGTCTTAAAGATTTCAGCCTAATCATGTAATTTGCTTTGAAATATTTAGATATGTATTTTTAATTCAAATATGGCTGGATATAATATACAGTGTTGTTTCCACAAATTAAAAGAGAGGAGAGCAAAACATGGACATAGATCCATTTATCCCTTTTCCAACTCCCCTTGTGTCTGCAGCTTATTGTGCTATAAAGTTGTTCTTTTCAAAATTGTCCTCTAGACATTTTGGACTTCCAACTCTCAGAATCCCAAACCCATCGCTTCTCTAACCTGAAGTCCAAAACATCTGAAAGACTACAAGTTGAGAACCAGTGCTGTAAAATATTAGTTTAAATATATAACCTGGTTTTTCAATGGAATGTGAAGAGGGGTGGGGCAAAGCTGGTTTTTGGTCCAGTCTGGGAAGATAGTGCACAGCCTTTTGAAAATGTTATCCAGAGACTTGAGGATTTCTAAATTGATGGGCTTGGGCAAGGGAAAAAAGAGAGAACTCTTAAGAAGGTTGAAAGCATCTCTTATGGGCAGAATTCCTGTCTGCTAGTGGCCCGGCACCATTAAATATAACCACCTGTGAATGCTGTTTCCCCTATGTTTTCCATTAAGTCCCAAATCAGTAGAGAGCTATAATTCTGTGTTGGTTTCTTTCCCTCCACACAGAACTGCATTCATAAAATGTTTCTCTCTCTCTGTAATGGTTAAGTGCATCCAATTTAGGACTTTGCTTTATGTAATATGACCTTATCCGTAGTCTAATCTGCAAGCTGTTTAAAGCTACTTGAACTTGAGCAGTGACATCAGTAGGACTGAACTCTGCATTTAGTGTTTGTACTTCAGGTTAAGCTCCACTGCATTCAACTCTAACTTAAAAAAATAATTTATGAGTTACAGCTGTAGAGTTCATGTGGTGGCTAGTTTTAAGGCAAATGGTTTCAAAAGTTGCCAAGACACCAGTGTTTTGTTACTGGTCCCCTGTTGTAGCAACTTCCTGGATGATCAATGATAATAGGTGCATACAACAAATATGTTATACATCGAAGAGTATAGAGATAATGCTAACCTTTTACTTTTGGTAACCTATCAAATTGAAATGACCGTGTAAGAACTCATGCACTCCAAGACTAAACACAATGTACTTGGCAGATATGCCCCCCCCCCCAAGTTTTGTCTGAAAATTCAGTCTACAGAAAAAGTGGAGACGGCAGAATATGATTACATTCAGTGGACACCCACAGTCCCTTGTTCAAAATAAAACAGCTGCAATTTTCTGTTTTTAAAGATAGTGGGAGGACTCTTCTTCCTGTAGCATATGTAGGTAATCTAATAATCCTAATATACAGAAAAACAATTGGTGTGGCTCAATTTAAAGTGCACCCTTCTGCAGTACTGGAGGGAAGATATAATAGTGTACCATATCGTGCACACCTATGTCCCTATGATGCCAAGTCAGTAGAAACTGTGAGACGTTTTATTGTACTGCTCTTTCTATTGAGACATTCAGCAACACTGTATTAACCCAGCTTTACAAAGTATACCAGGGAGACTTGAAAGGTTTTATGTTGATTATTTTTTGGCTGACCAGTCTCCTAAAATCACCGCCAAAGTTGTTGTTTTTTTGCTGTTGTTGTTGTTGCAGCAGTAGCTTGCCAATGCAGGATGTTGTCACCATCTTAAAAGATTCTCAGCTATCCTCATTGCTATTCCGTTGCACAAATGCTTAGTGCTGTTTCTTGGCTGGCATTGCTTCCTAGCACTTGTTTTTTGCAGGTTATGTTTTGATGCCTCTATTTGCGTTTCACTTACCTTGGTGTCTGTTTGTTTTGATTGTGATCATTGACTGAAATAAAACTATTTGTTGTTGTTCAGCATGCCACCTAAATGACAGTCTGTTGATTGGTTTTGGAAGCATGTTTTGTTACCTGGCATCACCTGTGTGGCCTGCATTGCATGACAAAACTTTCATGTAGCAATTCTAACTTTTGACATGAATCAATGCATTATTTTAAAACAGCACTTTGACATTAAAATTCTTCAGGAGGTTGATGGTAAGAGAAATCTGTTGTTCTTTGTAGGCCATTGAAGGTACAATAGGTGGAAATGCATATATGCACAGCAAAGTGAACCAATGGACTACAAGTGTGGTAGAGCAAATTCTAAGCCAGCTAACAAAGCTCGGGAAACCATTCAAATACGTTGGTGAGTTGATGCATTTGTTTCCTCCTATAGTTTTGACAAAAATGGGTTCAAGTAACACTGAACATTAAAGCTTAAAATGGCAGAGGTGAGGTAGAAGGGTATGCTTTTCTAGTAACTCCTTTGAAAGTAATGCTTTGATTTTAAAAGGGTATAAAATAAAAGTATATGTCCAATTTTACAATTAAAAGCAGAAATAATACAATATGTAGCCTTTTTATAACAGTATTCTTCTCTTTTTACAGTAACTTGTGTGATTATGCAAAAGAATGGTGCTGGACTTCATACAGCAAGCTCTTGCTTCTGGGATAGCTCTGCTGATGGTACAAGAACATTTATATTTTTTAGTTTTTCTAAGTTGTGTGTATAACTGGTAGCAGTCTCCTGTGGAAGTAATCCTCTCTACACACTTGCATTTTGGTTATAAGCTTTAGATTTTCAGCAGATAAAGGTGATCAGAGAGCGAGTGACATATCCCTTTATTACCTCAAGGTGTGGATGATGGACAGCAAGGTGGGAAATATAAGATACATTATAGAATAAAATTGAGATTTCTCCTAAACAGTGTAGCAATTCTCATTACTGAATGATGTGGTTCAGATTCCATGAATGTAAATTTTGAAAAGGTGGCTTAGCGTTGGGTTAGCTTCGATCTAACTAAAATTGGAACAGGGACAGGATATGCCGGATTGTTGTGCTGTATCCCATTTTTCTGGAATTCCAGCCCAGCCTTTGGGTTTTCTGGAAGCCTATGCCCCCTTTCCCATAATGCCATCATTTGGTGATATCATGGTTTTTGTACAGATTTTTTTCTCTCTTATTTTGAAATTATCCATTAGCCCACTAAATCTGCTAATAGCTAGGCTTTAAACTGGTGTGAATTTGGCTTGCCCGCCACTGGACTGTGGCCCCTGTGGACATCCTGAAATGCAGTTCAGCATTCATGATGGATAAAGTTACCCCTCTTTGGTTTAGAGCAGGAAAGAGAATAGTGCTCCCCTCCCCAGCAGGGCACATACTATAAAATGCAAGATTCAGTTCAAAAATGGAGATATAGCTCTACAGTTTCAGGGTGTTTCAGAAAATACTTTTGTGGAGCTTGAAAGTAGGCTTTTCCCTCCCAAAAGTGGAAGTTTCGTTTTCTCCCCCAGAATGTGTGGACATGTATATGTGTACAATGGCACAGTTGGAGCCTGAAGTCTCTATCGCTACCTAGATCTATTCACATACTGTTTACGGAATGCAAATTTTTAATTGGCTATAATGTGATTCCCATCTCAACCACTGAAAATTGGCAAATTGATGCTTTTCCATGTCTCAGCTGTTAAGTGACAGTCTTACCTCCCCTCATCATAGTTATTAATCTCCAAGAAAGAAAAATCCTGCCAGTTTCTCATCTAGCTGCACCAACCTGAGTCAGCTCATTCATAAGGCAATTTCTCAAGTATAGCAAATGTTTCTTTGTTCTCCATGCACCACTCTCTTTATATTTCGGTAGTAACTCCTGTCAGGGTCTTACTTTTCTTCCCCTGCACATCCTGCCAGTCACCAACCATCACACACTTTTTATTGAGACCCTCTATGGTATGAGGTTCTTAGGATCAGCAGCATTCTCCCCCATTCCAGGAATCAGTGTTTGGAGCATGTTGGTAGGTGAAAAGAGAAAGAGGGATAAGAAGATGGGGAAGAATGAGGGAAATTCTTATGAAGCCAAAATAAAGGCAAAAAAACCACTCATGCAACATGAAGATGCGTAACTTAGCTGCTGCTGCTCCTAATCCTGAGAGTCTCTAGCCAAATATTGTGTGTCTGTGCAGCTGCTGTGGCAGTGACAGCAGACAGATATGCAAGCAGGCAGAGAAACACATGAAACCCAATTTCATGTTGTTTTCAGGAGTATAAATGTTGTGATGAGTTAAAAGAGTTTTGATGAAAGTAAAGGGTTTGGGATTGGTATGTTAACACTTTTCATATAGGTCCTTTCATTTTTAGAGTGTGACCTAAAAGTTCTATTGATGCAATGGTAGCGTTCCTGTTGCATTAATAGAAGAACTTACTGGATTTTTCTTTTGCAATGTGGTCATCTAACGTTGTGCTTTTTCTTTTGGGTAGGAACCTGTACTGTGAGATGGGAGAACAAGACTATGTACTGTATCGTCAGTGCCTTTGGACTTGCAATATGATTGCCTTGGAATTCATCAGCAGTTGTGTCATCACCTCCATTTCATACATCCACTAAAACTGTGAACAGATCTTGTTTTTTAAAATAATTTCTTTCTTCCAGTGAGCAAACGAGAGAGCAATTTTTGTGCTGTTACATAAACACACAATTTTTTCCATATCTAAACCACTCTCTGTCTTAACACTTTAAAGGACTCTTTCTCAAGGTGCTAAAACCTGAAACTTGCTGCACTTCTTCAGCTTTACTTCAACTGATTTGAGTAAGACTAATTTTCACAATGTAGCTTTCTTTATTAAATTATTGAAGTTCTGGATGTGTGCATGTGTTTCTATCCAATACAAACTCCAGGAGGAAGGTGGGAGGCTAACTTGTGCCATTCCTACTCCAAAGTGAAAGTGACACAGTTATTCCAAGGATCTGTCCAACTCCACCACATTAATTCCTGTGTTTTCAAATCTATTGAAAATTCAAAATTGCCGAGTATTTGGTAAACAGCTGAATCCCATGTTATAAAAGTCCCAATTATGAGGAGGCAAATGTATATCATAAAATGTCATACCTTAAAGAACTTCCAGCATGAGTAGACAGCACAGTCTTTTTCGGGCAAAAATGACCGTTTGAGAAAATGGCAATGCTTTATTACAGTGGTTCTCAGCCTGTGGGTCCCTAGGTGTTTTGGCCTACAACGCCCAGAAATCCCAGCCTGTTTACCAGCTGTTAGGATTTCTGGGAGTTGAAGTCCAAAACATCTGGGGACCCACAGGTTGAGAACCACTACTTTATTAGAACTAATTTTTCTAGTATATAAAGCAATGGGCAGCATTTAGTGATAATGCGGAATGAAGTAAATGCGAATCAACTGTAAAAGTAAAGGTTTTTCCTGACATTAAGTCTAATCGTGTCCAACTCTGGGTTGTAGTGCTCATCTCCATTTCTAAGCCGAAGAGCCAACGTCCATAGATGCCTCCAAGTTCATGTGGCTGGTATGACTGCATAGAATGCTGTTTCCTTCCCGCTAAAGTGGTACCTATTGCTCTACTGACATTTGCATGTTTTTAAACTGCTAGGTTGGCAGAAGCTGGGGCTAATAGCGGGAGCTCACCCTGCTCCCTGGATTCGAATCGCCAACCTTTTGGTCATCAAGTTCAGCAGCTGAGTAGTTTAACCTGCTGCACCACTACACCACAATGTTCAACTGAAGTTCAGCAGCTTAGCAGTTAAACTCATTGCGCCACCAGGGGGGCCGAGTCAACTGTGGCCGCTAAAAAAGCCAATGAGAGTTTAGGCAATATCAATAAGATTATAGATCTATGCTGCTTTGGTTAGGCCTCATCAGGGATCCTGTGGGTACTGCAATTCAAGAAAGATATTGTCAAAATAGAATGTGTTTAGAGGAGGGTGACTAAAATTATAAAGGTCTGGAAACCATGTCCTATGAAAAGTGACTTGGGAATCTGGGTGTGCTTAGCTTGGAAAAAAGAAGACAGAGGGGATATGATAGCTATGTTTAAATGTTTGAAAGGATGTCACATTGAGGAGGGGCAAGCTTGTTTTTGTCTGCTCTGGAGACTAGGACTCAGAGCAATGGATTCAAACTGCAGGGGAAGGGGGAAATTCCACCTAAAAATTAAGAACTTCTTGAGTATAAGAGCTGTTTGGCAATATAATCCAACAGATGCCAGATATGCCATAAATACAGGATGAGAGACTTGCCTGTAGTACCTTTGGAAGTTGAAATGACCAGAGATTTCAAGCACAGCAAAAGGAGCCCTTTCTGTAGCAACAGGGCAGGATATTGGCAACAGTGGGCCTTTCCAGGTATCTGGGTGCCAGCTGCACCAAGCAGTGGTCAAGTCCCTTTCTGCACTCCCAGTTGGGACATTTGAGTAGCACCTGCTCAAATGGTGCTTGGAAGAAGTGAGCCCCAGAGTCATTCTCTCTGAACTGACAGTGTCTCTTCCTGGCTGTCACAGAAAATTCAGCACCATGCCAGTTCCTAACTTCCATATTCCAGGATGAGAATTGTAAAAGTTCTTTGGTTTTATGACTATCCTCCAGTCATATACAAGCCCATGCTTTCGTTTTGTATCCTGTACTATAATGTTTCATATTCAATGTAAGACTAAGATGCAATCTTAACTAAATGCTGTTCTGAAGAGAAGATATGAAAGATAAAACAGATGGATAAGAATGACAGAACTAAAGCAGCATTTACTTTGTTTTAAAAAGCTATCAAAGTGGTGCACAAACTCTTGAAACATTATTTCTAGTGTATGTTGTATTTTGGCCCCATTTTTCTATAGACATTTTAACCATTTACTTGGTTTTCTTTCCCCCGGTACTATCAACTTTGCATTACACATTCCTGTGCATGTCTCCTGACTCACCTATGCCTCAATTCTCACTAGTTATGATGCAAATCCACATAATGTGCCTGCAGGTAACAGACCAGTGCTGGTGAAAACAAGTGTCATGATGCAAAGTTATATCCTAAAAATCTGAGGGTTAGGGCATATTTTGAGTGGCTTTTTTCTGGGGAAGATCTATTCCATTCCATAGACTCCCTTCCCCATGAAAGGTATATCGCAAAAGAGAGTAATAATCACTCTATTGTGAAGTGATAGATTAATTTATACATGCAAACAAGGAAAATGCACATATGATGCTATTTATCTGCAGGAAATGATGCAACTGATGTGGGTACAGCATCTCAATATAAAACTTTTATTATGTTGAACACAATAATTTGTTATGAACATGTTGAGCACAATGACTTTATTATATGCAGCATCTCAAAAGCATTTCAAAACCCAATTATGTACTAAAAGTAAATATTAATTTTGCTCTTTGATTGTAGTTCAGGGTATATTATCACCAATGTTGCCCATTGGTATCATAATTTCCCCTGAAGCATGAAGATGACACATTAGGATAAACCATACTGAGAAGCAAAACTGTATCAGGAACATCCCGTTCGAAAATGCTCTAGCCATATTTTGGTGTAAAGTATTTTCTAGGGATTTACTTCTTTTTACATCTATTTACAAGTATCAGGTTCAGTCATATTGTGATGTCAGGACTTCTTCATATTAATTATGTGCACAATAGAAAAATAGGGTTACAAAACGTAACATAAAGAACTATACCATTTAATCCAACAACTTTTTTTGCTCAGTCACCAGTCTAAAATATTGTCATTTGAAGGCCACAAGATTTTGCCCTTTATGTAGGAGTAATCCCACTGAACTTGCTTCCAAGTTAGCCTGCCAAGGATCAGACTATGACTGTCATGCTTAAAGCAAAATTTAGGGTTTTTTTCCCTCAATTGTTCTATCTTGTTATAAAACTGTTATAATCTGTTAACAATCATACAGTTCTACTGGGTTACATTTAGAGCCCAGATTAAATTATTAATGAAAAGATTCTAGATTTTGGTTTTTAAATTTAAAAAAAAGTATTTGTTTTAATTGTCATCACAGACAAATCTGATTGGCTAGATGGCAGCTATGATACTGAACTCCTTCATTACATTATCCTGACTGAGCCAGGAACAAAGAGGCAGCAGGCACAAAGAGAAGGACACTAAAGCAACAGGAGGTGCTCCTACAAGACAAAACTAGTGGCAATGACCAGGATTGTTATAAGATGAATATTCATATTACCTTTAGGCCATTGATTTTCATCAAAATGTCTAGTTTCTATTAAAAATCTGAAACCGAGAACGTTCAGTACAACTAACCATTCTTAGGTTTACTGGAATTGAGAATGCCTTTCCGTTAATTCAAGACTTTGGTCAACTTCAGAGATAACAATTCAGATTTTCGTATCATTTTATCCATACAGGTTTAATGATAAAATCGCAATAAGAATACAAATGTGAACATGATTATATCAGGAACAAAGAGAAATAGGTGTAAATTAGAAATACACCTCAGCACATCAAACAGCAAGAACAATGCTCCTGTTTTTTTAGAGGCGTCCTGCATTCATGAAACATTAAGCAATGGCCTTTATGTTAACATGTTTAACAAATTGCCAACATCAATAAAACATTTTCTTCCCACAGAAAGCTTTCTGAACTAAAATGCAGCTTATTCACCTATACTTCAAGGATTCCTTACTTGTAGAAAAAGGTACACCATTTGAGCATTGTCTTTCAAACCTTTCAAGAACCCAATCTAGAAAATGAATTTCAAGATGAAATGTACAATAAAATAATTTTATAAATTTTAGATTTTTGGCACAAAATACTGCTATATGAGCAATATAATGAAGCCAGAGTTAAGCACATTGAAATTTCATTGACTTAATGGGAAATAACTAAGCAGGTTTTTAAATTCCTCTGCAAAAATCAATACACCTTAACCAGCTTAAAAAAATAAAATTGTACTTTCTTATAATTAATTGAGAGATATTTAATAAGGAAATGAATTCGGCAATCCATTCATTTTCTCTAGACATAAACGAGGGAAAAACAACCTGGAATGTCAAGCAAAATCAGATTTTTAAAAACATAGAAAAACAAAGACAACAATGTGAAGGAATGCATACATCAATGGCAAGCAGCACAAATTTTTACACATGATTACCAAGAGTAAACATAAAGTAGTAAAAAAGACTTGGAAAAAATACATAATTTTCCCAGTTCTTTTTGTAACATATTTGAATATATACTCTTCTTTTTTGGCTTTAATTTACTGTAAAAAAAAAAAACCTAATAGGTTAACTGTATACTAGCACTCTAATATGTTAAACACCACAGAACAAAGGTAGCTGAAATGGTTTTAGCCCAACATCAGTCTTTCAGCCAAAGTGATGTTTCAAACTGAGCTGATTGTAACATTAAAGATTTAGGGCTTCCGATATGCAACAGCACATTCTCATAGCTTTAGGACCAGTGTAGACAAAAACTAGCAAAAATGAAGTAAACCTTCATAATATATTAGTTGCTTCATGATATCACTTATTACATACTTCTGTTTGTGGGATCCAAAGTTAAGCACGCAGCATTTTGTGGGCATGCTCAGCCTTTTTCCCTTTGAACTCAGTTGGGAGTCCACTTGTCCCATGCCTTCCATTTGAACAAAGGGAAGTACTTCCTAACCACATATAACCTTCTGTCTGTCTACAACTTGTGACTTGAACGCAGAATGAAATGTGGAGTAGTCTGTTTCGCTGCTTGAGCGCAACATTTGAAAGCAACAGACATACATTTGCAATCATTCAAGTGTGAAGAGCAGAAATGAACTTTTACATTCACCCTTCTTAAGATCTTGGTGGATTTCACCTCACCTTGTAGTATAACTCATGAATAAGAAGTGCGGTTTTGAAAACACAGAGATATTTTTGTGAGGTATGTGGAAACTACCGAGTAAAGTTAATCCTCTGTGATACTGATTCACAGGATCTGTTTGGAACCAAGGCCACCAAGACGGGAGACAAGAGACGTGCCCAACAAATGGTGACTGACAACACCATTTTGGTAAGCCTTGTCATGTTCAGTAGTGTAAAATTCAAGCACAGTCGAGAAAAGAATGTATCCACACAAGAACAGCAGCCTTTTAAAGCATGTCTGGGGTGGAGGTTGGGGAGCTCAAATCAAAGTTTGCTTTAAAGCAGAATCCAAAATGGCTCAGATTTAATTTTGACACAACTCTGAGCAAACTCAGTGCTACTATACAGATCCTTCATCATGCCATTCCACTGCAGGAAAGTGAAGAGCAACTGGCTCCCATTGTACTCATGCACTGCGACGAACCTTACACATTACAGTCAGCACATGGGACTGCCATCATGCAAAGACTATTTCAAGCACCTTCCACATGTTCCCTTCACCCAGGGAGTCATTCCCAGCACACTGACCAAAAGATTACTGTGCAATTTGTACCTTCATTTGCCAATGCAAAAATTAGCCTAACAAAATGACAAAACAACAATTTTTGGATCTTGCTCCCTTAAATGAAGTTCCACTTACATACATGATTTAAGTACTAATCCAACACACATTATGAGCTTACTTCTATGCCACTGGTTCTTAATGGCAAGAGTACTATATCTATATTCGGCGGCGGGGGGGGGGGGGATTATAAAACTGTGTGTGTAAGGTACAATTGTTCCCTTTCATTAAAAAAAACTAGCCTATAAAAATCTGCATGTACAGAATATACTTAGGTAACAAGGCTATGTTTTTACTAAGATATTCAGTATAATGATTTAATTTAAATATTTTAAGAAAAAGAATCTTGGAACAATTCTCTTGCTCAGATTATTTTGCGTGATTATATTATTATTATTTATTTTATATATACATACATTAGTCTCAGAAAAGACTGAACCACTGTTCACTGCTCACAAACTGGGGAAAAATATAGCTTACTTCATGAACCTATGTCACAGCAAAGTATAATCACAATTGTGATTCTTACCTGTCAGCTCTCCCTCATTGAAATAAGATCTCCATCTCTAGGCAGGTTTGTGATCTGAATATTTTTTTACTCTGTTTCCTCCTCTATCCCACCCAGTTTCCAGCTAAAAGGGCATATTCTTGAATATGACTTCCAGGATAATGGTTGTGAAGCAACTATGAAACTCATGTGATCATGGATCAGAATGAACTATTAACCTCAAGGCCTCTTGGGCTGAAGAATCTGGTGGCATCCTACACATGTCTTTTTCTTTTGTACAGTTAGTGCTTTTGGGTTTCATAAAACCACAAAATATTTTTATAAAATCTAAAACTCTCCCTCCTACACACATTTAACTTTGAAATTTGTAAACACAGAAGGAGAAACAGGAAGTATTTCCACAGAAGAATAGCCTTGGTTAACTGTAGACATGGCAGAAACACAGGAAAAGTCAACACTGCTTCTACTTTTCATACAGAAGGTCACTTTAATGGAAACTTTAATCGCTGTCCGATTCTTCCTTGAATTTCGCTCTGATAGCTTGGCCATTCTGAAGAGGCATTTCTTCATAATCACTCCTGTTTGGAAACATGTTTATTTGAAAACAGTGCAACATAAGAAGCAACTTAAGAAGTATGACCCAAATTCTCTTTGGTGGTTAAAAATGTGTAATCTTGTGTTACGCATTTATGACTGTTACGTATTTATGTTCCCTATACATAAACCCAGTATGGTGTAGTCATTTCAGCATTATACTACAAATCTGGAAGCTGGGTTTTGAATTCCCACTCAGCCACTGGGTGATCTTGGGTTTTCCTCTATTAGCCTTAGAGCAGTGGTTCTCAACCAGTAGGTCCCCAGCTGTTTTGACCTACAACTCCTAGAAATCTCAGCCAGTTTACCAGATGTTGGAATTTCTGGGAGTTGAAAGCCAAAACATCTGGGACCCATAGGTTAAGAACCACTGTCTTAGAGAAAAGCAAAGGCAAATTCTCTCTGAACAAATCTTGCCATGGTAGTATCTAGGGTCACCATAAATTAGAAAACAGCTCATGTACAGACACAAAAGGGACTGCGAGTGTCCCCATTCTCCAAGTTCTGAGCAGCAGGTACCCATCAATCAAGAAGTGGCTTAGTGACAGTCCCCAACACACACCATGCACAATCTCTAGCACAAGGGGAACTGCAAATACCATCCCTTAACAATCATACTTTCATCACTCACAAGTTTTTCAGACCTTGTCCTAGAATGGGATCCTAAATCATTGTAATAATGTAGCACAAAATGATCTAAAGTAAAGAACTGCCAGACTTAAGTATAAGTAGGACTCACCAAGGGACGTGAGTGTAGCAGGACTACTAGGAAAAGTGTGAGGAAACACCAATAAAATAATAAAATATATTAATTGATGTCAAATGCATCAGAAGAAGAAGGGTATCCAAAACAAGGGAATCAATAAAATGGAAGATGAACAGAAATGTTAGCAAGGTTAAGTTTCAAAATGCTTATGGGCTAGTCATGAATTCAATAAGAGACTCAAGGTAATTAAAAGTAGAAGGGTGGATATATAATTATATTTTAAGGGAGCAGAAAGTAAGAAGGAAAGATGTCAAAAATTAATGTGAAAAATAATAGACTCAGATACTTTAGAATGTACACCGCAAGTAAGAAACGGCAGTGTAAAAGGATTTTTTTAAAGAAAGGAAGATATTAGAAATTAAAAGGTTCCTTTCAGAAACCAGATACCTTGCTCAAATGAGGTAGACACGAAGGAATACAAAATGACGCAACGGAAATGCAAGCCTGCAATTAGGAAGGGAAAATGGGGTTTTGAAGACCACAGCTCCTCAACTCCTTAATCCATCACTCCTTAATTGCATTAAAATCAGCAATTAAGAAATCTTTAAATAAATTACGAGCAGGAAGTAAAGTAGGAAGGCAGTAAGACAGCTTGATGACAATGGAATGAGAGGGGTAGTAAACAAGATTACAAAGGATAAATGAATTCTTTGCATCTCTCTTCAGAAAATATATGGCAGATGCTCAAATCATTTTGAGAGGAGAGGACAAGGCACTAATGAAAACTGTGGTGACAAGAAAACTGTGGTGACAAGACAAGACATTTTAGATCTTCATGACAAATTAGAAATAGAAATCACCAGGTTCCAGATGGCATCAACCCAAGAAGCTGAAGAAGTTAAATGTGGAATTACAGATCATCTAAAATATACAACATGTTTGTCATATTTCATGATGTCTGCATCAGTGGACTGGAGAGTGGCCACCATGATGCTACCTTTGAAAAGATCCTGGAGGTGGATTATGTAAAACCAATTTTAAAAGGGGTACTGGTGAGAGTTAGGAAATTACATAACAGTTAATTTAATGCGTGTTCAGGTAAACTGGTGGCGAATGCAATAAAATACTAAACTCTTAAGCAAATAGCAGAGTAAGATCTGCTACAAAAGGAACAACATTAATTCTGGAATGTCTTGTTTACTAAACTTGCAAATAGTATGGACAAGATAAATGAACACTATTTACTGGGATGGCCAAAAGATGGCCAAAAGTCCCTCACCAAATTTTGTTGGCAATGGGTGGGAGGAGAGGTCTTCTTATGGATCAGAAACTGGATAAAGAACAAGAAGAGTATTCATTTTTTCACAATGGAGGAAGATGAGAAGAGGAGTCCCTTAGGGATGTCCGGGAACTGTGATTTTGAACTTATTCATAAATGATTTAGGCCCCATCCAAACCGACCATTTAAAGGCCAAACAACAACGAATTGCCACAAAAATGTCAACGAAAGTCCTTAGTATGCATCAGTGCTCTGTAGTTTGGGTGTAATCATCATCCAGGCTTCAAAGTGGTTTCAGGATTTCCTATGTAATAATCTGCACTGCAAAACCACGTTCTTCAGCACTGGTTTGGAACTGCATTAAATTGCCTGTATAGATAGGGCCTTTATGCAGGGAAATGGACACGTTTTCTAATGACATTAAATAATTTGGAGTAAAACCAGATTGAAGAGCTCCAAGAGGACCTCTTCAAACTGAAGGAATGGACACCTCAATGGCAAATAAGATTCAGCTTCAGGCAAATTTAAAAGATGCATAACGAAACAAAAATTGATGTTTCTCCCATAAGTGAGTAAGATCTAAGCAGTTACTCACTCAGAAGAAAGGGAGTTTTGTGTTGTTGAACATTGTATGAACCAGACACACTTTTAGTTTGATCCGGCATGGTTTTTCTGGTGTTCTTGTGACATGAGAACAAAATGGAGATCACAGATGAGCCAATATATCTCAACAGTAAAAAAAAATAGAATTATAGAGTTGGAAAAGACCTCATAGGCCATCCAATCCAATTTCCTGCCAAGAAGCAGGAAAATCACATTCAAAGCAAAACACATTCTCAGTTCAGTCTCCTTCACAAGGGTTGTTTGAAACATGAAATGAGATGCAGGACCACCATGAATGAAAAATATAATAAAGTAAACTGACACTATCTCACCCTTACCACCACCACCATTTTCTCAATCTTAATCACAAAATATAGCCATAGCAGTCTCCTGATGTTTCAAACTGGCAGAAAATTTACAGTGTGGAAACAATTCAACATCCTTGCTTGCGGGTTTCTTTCGCTTAAAGATCAGTGAAACTATTGTTAACAATACTTACCCATAAATCACGTCATCATCTGAATCATTCAGCATGGAAAACGCAGGATTGTCTTTCAACTGAGACTCTGAAAGAGATTGCAGGGCGGGGTCCATTTTTAAAGATACAGCACTCCTCATTGGGGTGAAAATACATAAAGTATATCAAAGCCTTTTAAATATATTCCTCTTCTTCTTTGTCACATATCTGTCCCATTTAGTGAACACTCCAAACCCTGTTTATTGCAACTTTTTTCCTGTAGCTTATTATTAGAGCTATACACAAAGTAAAACATGAACAAATTCCTGAAATAAAAACCAAAACACTTTGTTATCAGCTCCTTCATAAATTTTATGGGCTAACTTCCAACCTTTAAATTGTCCTTGACTTCAATGCAAAAGGGCCTTTTCAGTGGCTATGGAAGTTCCTTCTCCCAAAGGCAAGACCAAGACAGTACTCATTATTTTTCCACAAACAGGTAAAACACTTTTTATATTTCTACAGTAGTTACTTTTTAATCTAACTAAAAAATTACTCATTGCATCATTAATTTTTTTCCCAATCATTATATGACTTTTAATTAACAAAATCTTGTTAGGAAAACAAAATCAATCCAGATAGCTATGTACAACTTTTCGAATTTGGAATTTCAAAGCTCTAACTCATTTTAGTACATGAGGAAACCTGTACAGACTATGTGCCAGAAGGTTATCTAATCATGAAGCTAATTTTCCACACTCTGAGGTTTTGGTGCCCTTGGGCCAGTCTAGACCTAAGAAAAGTCTATTTTTTTGTTTGTTTTTTACAATGGGAAATGACCTGGATCAATTTTTGGTTCATAACCTGTTGTTAGAAAAAGACTTCACCTGGAATTGAGATTGAGAGAGAGAGGCACTGAAAGAGCCTTGAGTGGCTGCATGTAGGCTGAAGGTCACACTTTTTAAATTACTGTCTTATGTGTTTCATGTCTAAAGTTCAAAAAATGGGAAAAGCATGTTGCTGCATTTTTTAGTTTACAAATAGGTAGAATGGATGACCGCCCTGCAAGGCAGTTCCAATTTTGCTATATTTTTCAGGCTTGTCCCTTTGTAAGCCACCCTGAGTCCCTTCTGGGAGATGGAGGTGGGGTATAAAAATAAAGTTACTTACTATATGGAAAGGCATCCAGTAGGGATAAAAAGGCTAATGGTGGAATACTTCCCACAATGGCATACTATTTTTCACAACATAACTTGGCAAGAAGAAAGAATCAAGTTTAGCTTACCATACAGGGCATTTTTTGACGGAGAATACACAAAGGCTAAAGTGTATAGATAGAAGTTCAGTAGCCCGTAAAAGGACAAGAATTCTGCAGGTAATAATAGTCAAGGATATAACAGTATGTTTCACCTTTGACCCTTCACCAACCAAATTATATTTTCTGAGCTTAAAAGTTAAAAAATTACTCTGGGTACTGCACGGGCCCACTTGGAAAAGTAGTCCCCTTCATAATATTATGGTATATCCACTGTCTACCTTGCAAATGAAGATTACATTAATCTAACCTACACAAACATATGAACCCACCTGTTCACAAAGATCTATGGAGGTTTCCATGCCTCTCTTTCCCTCACTATCCAAGTTGTCTAAAGCTGGGATAGGAGGAGGAGGTCTTTTCATTGCCTGCCCCGTGGCATCAGACACCCCTTCCTTTACCAGCTGGTTTCCTGAAGGATTTCAATTAATAACGTACTGTCCCAGTTTCAACCTCTTTGACATGGCACTTTTTGAAGGGTTTTTATTCGTCTCTTGTTTGCTTTAAAGAGTCTATCATTATGTCATAATCCACAGTATCTATTACAACAACTTGAACTGACATTTTACTTCGTGTGAAAAGAGGCAAAAAATACAAACTCTAGGGAAAACTGACTATGGGATTTCTAAATTTAAAATGCAGACACTCATGCAAAATTCCTCATTTTGTCCTGTCCCCCCCCCCACACACACACACAGTTTGATTAAAGTAACAGGATATCACAGTCAAAGGATATAATTATGATAATGAGTTGAGAGTTCAACAAAGTTGTCCTGTAGAACTTGTGCTCCAAAACGCAAATAAAGTATAGCAATGCTGTAAAGAGAAGGGGAGGCAAGAAAAAGGGACAACAAGAAATAAAGGATCACACTATACTTCATAATTATTTTTTCAAATCAAACACATTTCACAAAAAAATATTAAAGTTCTGTGTAACACACTATTTTGTTTCCTAGTTTCCTGATTTGCATTTGTAAATCACCCAAGACCATATGCTAGTTGTGTGATATATAACTTTAAACAATATTAGGTTGCTGTGAGTTTCCAGGCTGTATGGCCACTAAGAGAATATCTGTAAAAGTATGTTTCCCTTCCCACAAACGTGTCATTAACTTAGGATATGGTACAACATACTGTGCATCTATATTATTTTTGTATTCTGAAATGAAAATCCCAAATGTATGGCTCTACTTTCAATTACCACCTTCTATCCAGTAACCCCAAAGTACATACTGGGTGTGTGACCTTTGGGGTCTAATTTAATACTTGATATACCTCCCCTCTCATATCTTCTGAAGAAAAGCTGCAAATTGCATAACCTTAAGAGTGTTACTAACCACTTCCTTCTCTACATTATTTTGTAAACACCAAAAAATACTGCTGAAAGACCTTTGTTTTTTTGCCCATTTTGATCACCCATCTCCAAATTGGTCTCACAAAAGTCAGCTACCATATTATGGACATTATTTATAATCTTTCATCCTTGAATTCAGCTTGCTGAAAATATAGGATCTTACCTAAAGACAAGCACAACAAATGTCAGTGCAGTCAAGAATTTCAATCTGAGATCTGAGGAAAAGGGAGAGAGAGAAAGAAGTTATCTGAATGTGACACTATGAGTGGGTAAATCTTGATTTCTCCAATGCTGCACAATGAAGTCATGTAGCTATTTGTTGTGTGTCATTGCAGATTTTGCACACTTGGGCTGTGTGCAAAATCAGCAATGTTGCTACTTTTATTTAAAAAAGAAAAATTGCACAACAGAAATGTTGCACAGCAAAAATGTTATGCAAAATCAGCAATGTTGTAACAAAATAATGTAGGGATAAAAATTTAGTTGGCCCAAATTTCCTTTCCTTCCACATAACATTTGATTTACTTGGCTTTCAAACCATCAAAGGCTGCATCTCGAACACTGCATCATGTTGCTTGATGATGTGCAATTCAGTTCTGTGTCTTCCCCAAGGTACAAAGAGAACTACAATGTAATTGAGTGAAAGGTCTGTTCCCCAGTCCCACTCCCACCTTGGGAAACTGTGTAGATTTCTGTTCAAAGTACATTAAAAAGACAGTCGCAAATGTTCTGCTGGAAATTGGAGCAGATTTTCACATTCTTGTGTAGATGTCAAAAACTGCGCAGTTCTCAAAAACTACACAGTTGTGCCATGAATGTGCTGTTTCTTCCCATTTAAGTTTCTTGCAGGGTTTGAAATTCCATCTGGAAATTGACAAACTTCATTCCATCCCCAAGTGAGTGAACAATCTGTCAGGACAACTCCACAAAAGCAGTAACAGGCACAAAACTGAGCTTACCAACATAGGGCAGGTTACGAAGTTCTGAGCAGGCTCTGATGACCAGGAACAAAAGGTACAAAATGTACACAATTGCTACCACAAGGAAGAAGATTTTCATTCCCTGTAACAAAGACGGTGTACTAATATTACCCTGATGTCACTAAACATAATAATAATAATAATAATAATAATAATAATAATAATAATGAAAACTTTATTTATATACCGCTTTATTTATATACCGCCTTTTCCACAGGCAACATAAAACATACAGAGTAGCCATTAAAACATAAACATAATCTGTTAACAAAATCCTATACATTAAAACAAACCAATTTCATAACCACTGTGCAAATGCCCCAGGTTGAAAGGGCTGATCAGAGTTCCTAAAGAAGTAATGAAGCCAGGGGAACGAGTAAAGTGCAGGGCGTGCAACTGATTTCTGCCCAAGGAAGGGCCTGGGGCTACTTTTCCCAGGGCCTTTTTGCAATTTTGAAGAAGAAGGTCTAGGCCAGAAACCAGTGTCATGATATGGAGAAGGAATGAGGGAACGAACAAGGTGCTAGTTGGGCTTTTAGTAGAGGTCGAGGGCATAGGTCCTGGGGCATCAGACCTGGGATTAGTCCTTATCAAAGGCCTGATGAAACCACCAGGTCTTCAAGTCCTTCCGGAAAGAGGACCGTGATGGGACCTGTCTTAGTTCCCTAGAAAGGGCATTCCAGAAGTGAAGGGCCACCACCAAGAAAGCCCTCTCCCTCATCCCCAACAACCGTGCTTGAGACAGTGGCAGGAGTAAGAGCAGGGCCTCCCCAGTAGATCTTTCATACTGGCTCATAAGGAGAGATGCATTCATGGAGATTTGTCCCAATTCCTACCTCTTTGCACTATACACTGAGGCCACTGTTTCTAGAGACAGTTTCATCTGCTTTCAGAAATTCTGTATTGCACAATCAGGAAGAAGAAAGCCTAATTTTCTATGTCAGCTTTCCTTGACCTTGTGCCCTCCAGAAGTACTAGGGTCCAAACTCCATTATTCCCAGGATCCAGTGACTTGACATATGCACACAACCAGAGTGCACACAGAACCCTGTGCTCCCTCATGAAGAGAGGATAGCATTTAGAGCTAAAACAGCTCTTCATCATTGCTGTCAGTTGCAATGAAACAAATCAATGAAAGCAGATCAAATAACATCAAAGATTATTTATTATTACTTTTGGAATGTACACAAGCCACACACACTTCAATATGCAACCAGCAATGCCACACAGAGATAGATCAGTCCTAGTTTACATGCAGAAAACTATATTACTCCTCAAAGGACTTGTTAGCCAAGCAAACTATATTCGGCCTCTCCTTGATCAAAGCATTGACATTTCCAAAATGGAGAGAACAGCTTGGATTCAAATGTGTATACACTCAGAAACTTGCTCATGAAACTGGATTCTCTTAACTCACTTCCTATCACCTTCCAAAATTCAGCACATGGCATGGTTCCATTCTGAAATGGTGTGGCTATGAATTCAAGTCATTCTATGTATATGCTTACACTTAATCCCAGTCCTCTTAATGAAGACTGTCAGCTAGGCCCAGGATAAGGGGCTCCCCCTCATGTTCCTTTGAGAGGCAGACTTGCTTTGCAGACAGTTACCCTGTTTTAAACTCTGGCATGTCTCATCACACATAGAAATCATAAACAGTAATATCTTCAGTGCTGATTATATCTATAAACAATAACGCACTCTGAGCTATAAAGCATGTTAGAAGTCTAATAATAAATATTTTCAATATTCAAATAACCTCATCTTACACTGTTACCTATGTTTTTCTCTTACTTTTTCATTTCTGTGAATATCATCATCCCCTGCCCTGCATTTTTTCCCCACAGCATTGTTAAAATGTTTTCATTTTACCTCAAAAATTGCATTTGAGATTAACCATATGGCATATATATTTTGCAAGAGCTGGTTAACCAAAGAACTTCACAAAGATCAGCGATTTTTCCTTTTCAAACCTATGAGCCTCCTGACTAGCCCAGAAATATGCATGAATCAGGGCAATCTGACACAGCATAATCAAATCAAGTTTCCAATCTTGAAATCATATGAAGTGGATCTAAAAGTTACTCCAGGAGTCAGTCTTTTCTTGAAATTGAAACATGAGCTAAATACATTTAAATGTTTTGCAAGAAGCACCCTGGAAGGACAGAAGGCTCCACATTATTAGCATCTACTACGTTAAACTCAAAATATAACTTCATATTCACTTACTTGCAAGTGATTTGTATCAATTCCATACTGGTAAGTTGGATCATGTAGTTCATTGACACTAAGAAACAACAAAACAAACAGGTCATGGATATACAGATATTTATGGTGGGTCAAAGCCTGTGATAAATGTACAGATACAAACTTTTAAACACATTTGATCTTTTCTTCCCCATGGCAATTTAAATCATCATTCTAAATAAATCTACATACAGTCTCCAAGGTACAAACAAGATAGGTTCTGTAGGTTTGTTCTAAAGTTCAGTTTGAATGTAAGGGAGAACAGGTACATTTCTTAAGTGTAACCCCAGCCATATTCTTTCATATATATACACACACATATATTATGCATATATATATACACACATAGATAGGTAGATAGATAGATAGATAGATAGATAGATAGATAGATAGATAGAGACAGACAGACAGACAGACAGACAGATATGCCTATATACATGCATATATATGTAAGATTTGGATAGCATAGGAAAGAGCTAACACCCCTGGGGTGTTTGTTTTGCTGTCTGTGCCCCTGTTCAGAAGATTTTCCCTCACTTTTGGTCTCTGTGATAACTGAATTTTTATAAATTGGTTTGTCCTGGAAACAAAGATTTACGATAAAGCTTTAGTGGAGAAACCTTTTCCCCATGATAATTCTTTCAGGAGTGAATTTGTAAGTTGGATGTTTTTAACCTGGGGACTGCCTGTATTTTCCAGAAAAAGGAGATAAAAGATCGGTTCCACTTTCAGTATATAACAAACCTGAGTACATGGCCAAATACAATGGTCATGCTGATGAGGTGATTATGGGAATAGCAGTTCAGAAATGTGTTTTTTGAAAAGAGCTTTTTGCAAACATAAGCATTTTGGTAACACATTAATGGGGCAAACATGCAATATAGATAAAGAAGAACTGCTCTGAATAAGTGAATAACCCATGGAAAAAACCGTCCTTTTCTATAAAAGCCTTGACTATGTCTTATGGGGAAATAAGGTCAAAGAAGATTGCAAAATGGTTCGTGAACACAGGGGTGCACCTCTCACCCATTCTTGCTAGGACAGCCAGTGGTGAGGAATGATGAGAGTTGCATACCAACAAAATTGGAAGGACTGTATGACCCCTGTTGCCACATAAAATGATTGTTTTCCTTGTTGAGGTTAATTAGAAAGCAGAAGGAAACAGGGAAAGTACTTACGTCTGCCATATTCCTAACATAACAGAAGCCAACCACAGGAGACCAACGATAAGGAATTTGGGAAAATAGAATGTTACGCATTTCCTTTCCCCCTAAATGAAAAAAGATACAAATTAATATTAAATTTGCTTCATGGACATCAATGCAAGTTCAATAATATGAAAATATACCACACTTAAGCGAATTGCACTTTACTGTACTTCATCTTACTAGCTTGTGTTATCCATCCTTCATTTAAAAAAAAGATTTCTCACTACTCAGGAAATTGTTTTCAAACTTTGGGAGAGAGAAAAGAGTATCATGAAAAGCTGAATTTGCTTACAGTCCAAGCTCACACTGCTGCTCAGCCATTATTCTTTGATCAGCTATTTACTGTAAACTGTTGGCTCCAATGTCAATTGAGTTAGAAATATGCTCTGAGTTTTAGTCCAAAGTTTGGGGGGGAAACTATCCTAAAAGTCAAGTTTATTTTGGGAAATTTTAAATAAGAGCAGCTTTATTACTAGGGCTACCAGCTTCCACTGCCACCTCCATTTCTAGCCTAAGGATTATGGGTGAAAACAGAAACCAACTCAAAAAAGAGAGACGGTTCAATATCAGTGAGGTGGCAAACCTATTCTCAGTTTCAATTTGAATTTTAAAGGGGCAATCCAAAGTGCTAAATCCATCCTAAAAAATATAATGTGTTTGAAAATGATGGACCCACTTTCAAAGTAGGTACATTTCACATCTTTAAAGCACAGACTAAAACCTACAGTGGACTATGCTTCTCATCCCAAATGTGACAAGCCTCTGCTTCCACTCACTACATCCATTTCCTTTCTGGGGGGGGGGGGGGGGGGGGGGGGGGGGGAAGGACAATTTATTTATTACTGTATTTATATACCACCTTTCTCACCCCTGGAGGGACTCAAGGTGGTTTACACCATATTAATGGCAAAGATTCAATGCCAACATACAGTAAAACAAAGAGATCATAATAAGTAATTACTACATATAACTACGACTTAAAATCATTAAAACCATTAAACATAAGACATAAGCAAAACTTAAACAGTCAGATAAAGAATTAAAAACATCCTAGGATAAATATTAAAATCACATGATCCAAAAATCGTACACCATAGTTATTCCGATTCAAACATGTGTCGCAAATTAAAGTAGCCTTATATTTAAGAAGAGAGACCGCAAGTAAACATCACTTATTTATTTAGAGCTCCCACCCCTGCGGATGTATTCTCAATAGGTCTTAACCATGATTTAAAGATTAATATCAAATGAAGAGGTCAAGGACAGACTTTAGGTGGTAGTGAAATATTTTCCTTTCCTCACCTGCACTCTGATACCATGGTAAACACAGAGCCAGAAGAGCAGCAAAGCACACAGGAACAGGGACTGGAAGAGGTCATCCAGCATTCCAGGAAACCAACTACTGATTAGGAATGAGAGAGGGAAAAAGGGATCTGCAAAACAACAGAAGCAAGAAGACTACAAGTCACCACTTCAACTGCAACTCATATGTAGTTGTTATTCTCCTCACAGTTCAGGATCAAGAATCCAATGGGTAACAGGCAACATTTACTTTCCACATAATATGCCCATGACCAGGGATTCCCATTAATAATGTTCCCAAAGGGCACTCAAGAATAGGCATGCATGCACACACTAAATCTAGAGCAAAACAAATGCAACAACAACAAAAGAAACCAACTACCCCACTATCATAGTAGTTCCAGCCTCCCAAAATGGTCTAAATCAAGGAATGATTTAGGCGATTAAGGGAAAACTCTTTCCCCACAAAAGTGAGCAAAGACCATAATGCTTATAAGACCAGATAAAACAAAGGTCCCTTGTGTAACCAGGTACTTGAGATAACCATACAGGGAAAGAGTAATGGGGCAAAGAGATACATAAATAGAGGACGGAGGGCAACTTACATCTGATGTTCCTGATTATCTGTAAGACTACTCTACAATGTAACACTCGAATAGTCTTTTCTCTATCTAGCAATGAGATTAGCCTGAAGTCATACCAGCAAGCCCATGACAAAAATTTGGCAGAGTCTCTCAGTGGCTTCCCAGAGTATCCTATAAGCCCATGATCAGATAGGCAGATACAGCCTGATATATTGACTGTGTTATCTGGCTGAGTGATGGTTGTCATTAACTTCTGTCAAGCTGACTCTGATTAATGGTGATCTATGCAAGGCTTCAAAGTCCCCTGTTATAAACAGCTCTGTTCAGCTCTCGCAAATTCAGGGCTATGGCTTCCCTGGTTGAGTCTACCCACTTGCAACACAGTCTCCCTTTTTTTCTACTGCCTCCTACCTTTCCAAGCATAGGTGTCTTTTCTAATGAGTCATATGATGTCACATGGTCTTATGTTGGATGTTGTTTTTATATATTCTTTTTAGATGACTGGTCTATTATGTTTGCAATAAGGGGTATAGTTACAGGAGGGGAACAAATTGAGGACACTGCCCTCAAATAATAATTCTGCCCCCATCAAATTTTCCTCCCACACCAAATGTTTATCATTTCAGAGAGTGAACTAGTGAAAATAATTCAGTTACAATTATTTATTGTGTTTGCAATCCTTTTATAATTCTGCCTGTCCCCTTTCTTTGGGTAGTAAAGGTAAAGGTTTCCCCTGACATTAAGTCTAGTCGTGTCTGACTCTGAGGGTTGATGCTCATCTCTATTTCTAAGCCGAAGAGCTAGTGTTGTTTGTAGACACCTCCTAGATCATGTAGTTGGCATGAACTGCATGGAGCGTCATTACCTTCTCACCAAAGCAGTACCTATTGATCTATTCACATTTGCATGTTTTCGCACTGCTAGGTTGGCAGATGCTGGGGCTAACAATGGGAGCTTACCCTGTCCCACGCATTTGAACTGCTGCCCTTCTGGTCAGCAAGTTCTACAGCTGAACGGTTTAACCTGCTGTGCCACCGCGGCCCCTTTCTTTGAATACCTAAACTATAATACTAAATGTTCAACTGAAGTGTAAAAGTACTTATAATGTTTGGGCTGAAGCAAAATTTCATTAGGATGCTTCTATTATGATTTCAGAAAAATGTCCTCATTTTGCACACACATATCCCAGAGTTACACTACTGTTCTCAATAATGCAATCAATATTTTAGTATTTTATTTTATTATTATTATTGCAGTTGTAAGCTGTCCTGGACATATGAACATAAAAGGTGGGAAGTAAAAAAACAATGAAGCAAAGCTGATTGAACCTTTGATGCTTTAAACTCCATTTCCAATTATTTCTTACCATGGATCTGGCTGACCGAGGCTACTAGGAACTGGAGTCAAAAACATCTGAAAACTCTAAAGTTTCCCTATCCCCAGTCTAGGATCATGCCAGCTCCCAAACCAAATCCAATTCTGCTTCACAATATAGACAACCATTAATAAAATGGGTATGTATGTACATTAAGATGCCCGTAACTGCATGGTTTCACATATCTGCACAATGGCAGACAATTGTCTTTTTAGGAATGGCTACATCCTACCAGCATTTCTATAGTATACTTTCCTTGGAATCTCGAGGTCTTCCAATGCAGTTGTGTGGTATGCTACAACAAGAAGTGGGGTAATTTAACGGGCCATGGAATATTTATTTATTTATTTATTTACCTTACTTATATACCGCTGTTCTCAGCCCGAAGGCGACTCACAGTGGTTCACAACAAATACGAACAGCAAAAATTCAGTGCTACAGTATAGAAACAGTTAACAACCTAACACATTACACAATTAATAAACTGTTACTACAATACCCATTCACTGTCGTCTCGTCATCAAAAACATGTTCCAGATTCGTCATCCATTGTTCCATTCAGAGAATACAGAGGTCTTACTGTTTTGAGTCCCTTTACCCATCTCACAGAGACAACTAAAATGTTTTATAAGGGGTAGCCCCAGAGATCCATCCAAATATGGTGCAATTCATATAAATACCATTATAAAGCAACAGCAGAGGAAGAAGGATGGACATCCACTTTTGCTCGATTCCCCAATCACGCATGGAGAACTTTCGCAGCGAGTGTGCAAAGAGACACTGCAAAGGAACACAAGAGAAACCATCAGTGACCACACTGTGCTTCCAGGAATTTAGAGGAGGTGAGGTACAGCAAGGGCTCTATCAAACAGCAAGACCAGCAGAGATGGATTGTACTCCAGAGAAAGAGCAAATGATAATGAGTTTAAAAAATCTGGCATAAAAATACTGCTCTTCTGTGGAGCCACATATTGCCCTCCGAATATCGAAGACAACATGTGACACTTGTAACAGTCTCAAAGAAAGACAACAAGACAGAAAGTGGTCCAAGACATATTTGCTGATCAAGAGCTTGGAGGGCTTACTTTTTTGCCCTATGGCCACAATGACTCGGGGACAGCAGTATTAAAAAGTAATCTCTCCCCTTTCAAGTTTTGCTCTTTCTTCTATTTGTATTGCACTTAATTTGAGCTAGGGAAGCTCATTTTTCTTCATGACTTACTACAATGTTTGAAAATTACTTCACAACTATTACTTGGCACAGTGTTTAGAAATAGCTTAATGTTTGTGCACTGTGCTGCTCATTGTTTTCCATTTCACTTTGCTTTTGCCCCTTACTTTTATTCTGAGAGAGACAAACAGACCAACCCTTGGATAAGATAACAGAGAATATGTCCAAATGCCTCTAAAATGCCTTAAAAAGAAATGTTAAATACTAACTAGAAATGGTCACTTGTAATAATGCATTATTTTTAAATGCAACTGTGTACACCTTCATTGTTCCAAAAGGTAACTACTTCCTCATACTATTGCTTGTGACTTGTTCTATCTGTCATTATGGCCATTTTGATTGCTCACCAGCCTCACTCTAGTACTTTTATTTAACTTTTTATTTCATAATAATAATAATAATAATAATAATAATAATAATAATAATAACTGTATTTATATCTTGCCCTATCTCCCCAAGGGGAGAAACAAAATCGTAAAGAAACATTAATTATAAAACCATTTAAATAGATTTTGTTAATATTCTGAAGGGCAATTCTAGTGTTCTAAACAAAACAAAACAAAAGCAAACAAGAACACATATAGCCAGATCTGTCTTGTAGAGGGCACACTTTCAAACACTGATATTTATTAGTTACAGAAGATTAAAGCTTGCTTGTCATATTTCACCGAGTTCTTCCAACCCATGAAGTCCCCCTCCCTTCCCTTCACAGCAACCACAAAACCTTATATTAAAATAATCTAGGGAGACAACACTCACCGTGACTATGAAAGTAAGGACGACGAAGACAAATCGAAACCAGATTTCCATTTGTGAGAAGGATGGGTTATAGGTTTTCCACTAAAATAAAAAAACAAGCATGTTAGCATATGTGTACACAGCTCTAGGAATGCAGATGGCTTCAACACTACTTTATTTATTTATTTACTGCATTTACGAGGGGTATTTTTAAAGAAAGGTCTGTTTGGACATAAGTACACAACAAAAGTTTATTTCAAAAAAGTAAATTTATTTTCAGAAAGTACATACTTCACTCTATTTTTCGACATAGTTGCCAAGTTTGTTCAAACATTGATCATACCTCTGAAACAATTTTAAAATACCCTCTTCATAAAAACTTGCCGCCTGCTCCGATAACCAAATCGTCTGTAATCAAAGAAGGGTGACCGGAGCGGTCCTCACCATGGACCTTGTCACGGCCATCTTTGAATTGTCGTACCCACTTATGCACTTTGCTTTCACTCATAACAGTATCACCGTACACTTCACAAATCTGTGAACCGCTGTGAGTCGCCTTCGGGCTGAGAACAGCAGTATATAAGTAAATAAATAAATAAATAAATCTGTCGATGAATTTCTGCAGCAGGCAGGTTCCTTGCTGACAAAAACAGTATCACTGAGCAAACTTCACATGCGGCAGGTGAGTTGATAGTCTTAAACATTTTTAAAGCACAGAACAGAACCGTACAGGTTAGCTACAGAGCAGAAACTGAGCACAGTTGTTCCCAAGGCATGCCGGTACACAACACACACGCTCGTTGCAGTATGCGCGCCAACTACTAGTGTCTACAACAAAACAGACCTTACTTAAAAAATACCCCTCGTATATACTGCTTTTCTCAACCCTGGGGGGACTCAAAGTGGTTTACCAAAAATAATGGCAAAATTCAATGCCTTACATACATAAACCAAATCATAACTCAAACAACATATAACCATGTTCAATAAGACAATTCACCCTAAGATAAGAGGACATTTAAACATGAAAACATAAAATTTAAAATACCTAATAAAAACATTAAAATTACATTGTTGTGTGTCTTTAAGTTTCTGCACCTCTAAGGCAAATCTACTGAGTTTTTTTAAATTGCTTTTCTCTGAGGCCAAAAGAATGTGATTTGCCCAAAGTTATTCAGTGGGTTTCCATGGCCGAGTAGAGAAGTGAACCCTGGTCTCTAGAGTTCTAGTCCAATGCTCAAACCATTACAACACAGTGGCTGCTTGCCTCTTTGCAATCCTTTTGTTATCATGCAATTTTTTTCATTTGGTCTACCAGGTTAAGAGTCTAGGGTTTCTTTTAAAAAATGCTTGACATAATTTAAATGTCTGCTGTTTTAGTATGTGGGGTTTGTTTCATATTCTTGCCTTTTGATCAATCTCTTAATCGCATTCTTATGTTTATATCTCAATGGATCATTTTTATTTTGCTATTTGAATGCCACTGACAGAAACACTGAATACATTGAAACAGAATAAAAGGTTGCCTGTATGTTCCACTCTAACAATATGCCCTCAGCTTCATTTTTATAAGCCATCTTCAAAGCACTTTGCAATTCACCAGAACTTCGTCAGAGCCTGTATTGACAGGCTCTCTCAGCCTCAGAGGAAAGCAATATCAAAACTCTTTGAACAAATCTTTTAAGGAAAATCCTGTGAGATGGTAGCTCAAGGGCAGCCATAGGTTGGAAAAAACTTCTATGCAGAAAACAACAAAAAGATAAAGGACTAGATCCAGACTTGCTACTCTCCATGACTGAAAAGGCTCCTTCTTCTGCAGATGGAACTTGGATGCCATTATTATCAATTCCCTTGCCAACCCCAACAGTGCCTCCATGGTATTCTAGAGTGCCACCCAAGCTTACAGAATGGCACAGGAGATGGCAATGGGAGGGAGGAACAGAGACAACTACACCTCCCAACAGCACCAACAAAACTACATCAAGTGCAAGTTTTGATCTAATTCTATTGTCATTATTTTATAAGGTAGGAATCCTATCAAGATCAGAACCAAGCCAAATGCCATCCTGTTTAGCATGTTACCTGATTGTAGTCAATGATGGAAAAATAGCACAGGTTCAACAATTGTATTTGAAGTAGACATTTATTGCTATTTTAAAAGGATGTTTCTTCACTTACTACAACAAGGAGTAGTCTGGTTTTTAATTCTGCTAACACTACCATATTACTATCAATTGTAAGACACCATAAATTGAAAGATGCACCCTAATGTCGGTACCACCACCACCAACAACAAAATGTAAGATAAACCTGTGATTGTAAGATGCACCCCTTTAGTAGAGACTAGCTTGGAGACCCAGCAGTGCCCGGGTTATTTGAAAAAGGCATTCTTTGCCTGTGCTCCAAGTTTAATCTAGATTCAATGTCAGCTGAGTTCAGTGAGTACGGGTGAACTACAACTCCCATATGCAAGTCCCATCATCCATGGTCCATCCTCCTCCAAACTGCACCAGGATGTAGAGTGGGTCATGGGGGCTCTGTATTGGTCTTGAGCAACCATTGGTGTGGGTCGCAGTGGTCTCGGGAAGTGAGTGTCACAGTGCTGTGTCTTGATGAAGGGTGAACTACAACTTCCATCTGTGGAGTCAATCCCCCAAACTCATACAGAATGTTCATTTGCTGATCAATTCCTCTGTTGGCTGTGTGCCATAGGAAAAGGTTAAGAGAGAGGCAGTATGCGGGGTCATGCAAATGAGAGAGAAAGGAATCCTGGGAGGTGTCTTTGGTGGAGGAAAAACTGAAAATCTAGGCTGAAATGGGCCCCGTATAAAAGCCTTCACTTGCGTAGTGGGCAGGATGGCATTTGTGGTGGACATTGGCAGGGCTCTTGGACATGTTCATGGTAACCTGCAACGTCAGTTTTGAAAGGGCCATGGGTGTCTCCAGCTCAGTAAGAACTAAGGCCTGTTTGTGGAGGCGGGACTCTGTCTGTGTAAGCAGACACCCCTGCCACATACACACATTTTCACTTTTATTATGTGTATAGGTGTTTGTTTAGAGGAAAAAGCACATCTTAGAATTGAAAAAATACAATATTGTGAGGATAACACCTGAATCTGTCCTGTTAAGTAATGCATCTATTATCATTGCAACATCAATGCATGTAAATCTGTAATTCAAACTAATTTTTTTCACTTATTTTTCCTATATTTACACTTACTGTGAAGTTGTAACTCTTGATCTGGTAGAATGGAGAAAGATTCTCAAAGGAGACGCTGATTTCGTAACGAGCGTAGTTTAGGTAACCAAGATGCAGCACAATAATTTCAGCACATTGCTGTAAAAGCATGGTAGGGAATGGCATGGGAAGAAATGCAAGGGCAATGAGGAAAAAACATACACAAAAAGCACTGATTAGTGAACATTTTGGACTTTTGGGCCATCAACGCCTATGTCAACCATTATGATGAGCAAGTAAAAGGTACATTTTGGGATATAGTTCAGGGTAAGGGCACATTCATCCTGCTTCTGCCATGAGACTTTAAAAAAACTGCCTGATGGTCACAAAAGCACCCTATTCTGTTTTCTCAAGAAACAGCTGGGCAACTCTGAGCAGATGCTCCTCAAACATGAAAAATTATGGGAGGTGGATAGATTGGCAGAGGACCACAGTTGTCCATTCTTGTCTTAAATTCACCTTAGTTTCATGTAACCTATGCAGCAAGAGTGCCGATTTGGAGTCACTAATTACTAGTGGAAATATTATTGAATGGAACAAAAAACTGCTATGGCTGAAGCCAATGGGTTATGTGAATAAAAAAACACCTTGTACAAACAATCTTTCCTTTTTTCCTTCTCCTTTCCACCTAAACCCACTCACATCACAACTCTGTTTAGAAGATGAGGGGCCTTTCTTAATGTCAGGTACTGTTCCATTATCCAGGTGGAGGCCACCAGGGGGCGCTAGAGAGAGCAGCACAATCCATTTTACAGAAGGTGGGGGGATTGAAGGAGTAAAACCATTTCCCCCCCCCCCCCCGGTTTTCCTGTTATTCCTCTCACCCCTGTCACCATAGTGGAAACAACCCCCGTTTATGAAATGGGAAGTGGGGAGGGGGAATAACCAGCAAAAATGAGGAAAATAGTTTTCCTCCTTCMACYCCCCCCCCCCCCCAAATGAATTATCCTTCTCTGGCCTCCAATCAAATAAAGAAACAATACGATGAGCTATATTACACTCAACTGCATCGGGACTGGAAAAGTAGTGCCACTGAAACACAGGTTATACAATGTATAGTCCCCTTCCCCTGTAATGCGGTCCATCCTGTCCAGAAGTGCTCCATGAGCCTCTGCAAGAGGTTTTTAAGGCTATAGGAGAGGATAATGGTGAGAACGGTGGGGGAAAATGCCTGCCCTTCATGTAAGTACTAAACTCAGCAGCTGGTTAGGAGATTATTTACAAACCTGAACATGTTTTAGATTGCAGATATCTGAAACAGAACTTGGAGGTTCATATATATACACACACAACTTTGCAATTCAGACTTCATACCCTTCCCACCTTTTTTTCTTTTTTAAAGCTGCCTTCCATCACCTAACACATAGTAATCAGCCAATGATTTTCCAGGATCTTTGAAAAAAACTTTGCCTATAATTTCTTCTTGTAGTTACAGGTTTTAAATTTGCATTTTTATATAAAGAAGCTAACGGTTTTAAAGCAATTCTGCTAACAGAGCTATATCCTCACATCACTTATTCTACACTGCTATAAGCAACTCCACAAAGTACGTACTGGTGCACAACTGAGGATCCTTGTTTGGTTGTGTTTTTCCTTGTTGAAATTTCGTACACTTGCATTCTCTCCGACTCCACGTATTATAACCGACATATTAAAGGCAACTTTCAAATTTTTCCATTTGTCATCTGAAAATTTAAGTGCAAAAAGTTTGTTTTAAGATGCAGCTTGGGTAATATAATCTGAAAAAAGATAGTAGGTGGAGTATTAACCTAAAATTAATGGATTCTACTGTACCACGTGGTATCAACCAGCTCCTATGACCTATGTTCTGTAATCTTTTATGATCCTAGAAATGGAGCTTGGCAAGTTCACATGCCCTTGGCTGGGTAAAAGTAACAGTTTTAGAGTCTTCTCCATTCACAGATGCATAGAAGAGAACAGCTACTGGTATTTAGCCCAACAAAAGAACATTCCAGAAAACACTGAGATATTGAGGATCATATATATGACTTGTACATTTATCATACAAGCATGGTGTTTCTCTAGAGATATATGGGGTTTTTCTTTCTTTCCCTTTCTTTTAAAATGAATAACATTTGCTACCTCACAATTGTATACCCATGGCTAACATCTGGTAAAAGCTTTTTAAAAATGCTTAAAAGAACTTGAGTCAAGGAATTGATAAATATCCTCCACAGTCTAGTTCTCTATTTCCTATGGCTCCTGTTCCACATTTTATTCCCATCTGTTCCTAAACAGTTTTTTCATCCTGTTATTCTAAAAAAGGGTGTGTGTCTGAATCTTGGAAACCATTATTTCATTTTTTTATTTCCATTATTCATTTCAATAACACATAGTATTATTTTTATTATTATTTATATGCGGCTTTTTCTTTCTTGAAAAAGACTCAAATGGTGATACAACCAAAATTTGGCCCATATATAACCACAATTTCAACTATAACATTTAATGCACTTATTGGTTGGTATTACCATTATTGATTTGTTGTTGTTGTTGTTTATTCATTCAGTCGCTTCCAACTCCTTGTGACCTCATGGACCAGCCCAGCTCCCTGTCGGCTGTCACCACCCCCAGCTCCTTTAATGTCAAGCCAGTCACTTCAAGGATATCATCCACTCATCTTGCCCGTGGTCTGCCCCTCTTCCTTTTTCCTTCCATTTTCTCCAGCATCATTGTTTTCTCCAAGCTTTCCTGACTTTTCGTTATGTGGCCAAAGTACTTCATCTTTGCCTCTAACATCCTTCCCCCCAATGAGCAGCTGGGCATTATTTCCTGGAGTATGGACTATTTTAATCTTCTTGCGGTCCAAGGCACTCTCAGAATTTTCCTCCAACACCACAGTTCAAAAGTGTCTATCTTCCTTCGCTCAGCCTTCCTTACGGTCCACCTCTTGCATCCCTAGGTTACTACAAGGGATATCATTGCTTTAACTATGTGGATCTTCGTTGCCAGTGTGATGTCTCTACTCTTCACTATTTTATCGAGATTGGCCATTGCTCTTCTCCCAGGAAGTAAATGTCTTCTGGTTTCCTGGCTGCAAGGAACAAGGAAACAAGCCTCTTTTTGGCAAACCCAGTCTACTGTGCAACTGTAGCCATTTTTTTTTCAACAGCTTGATTTTCACAGTGAGATGTTGCACAAAGCCATTCTGAATTGGCCAAAAGGACTAAAGTCATATGTTTTCATTGTAACCTTGTTGCAATACATACACACACAACACAGTGGTAATACTCTACAATCCACACAATGCTTGAGTCCCTCCCTATTTCTATGACTTTCTCAAAGGTATAGAATAGGGAGGAGGACAGCCTAAATTTAATACATCATGCAAAGGCCAGTCACCTCCATGTTTTACGGTCATGGGACAGACAGATTTGTGTATGAAACTGATGCATATATACCGTAATTAATATGTTACAGTAAAACTAATATAAAACTAAATAATATTCTTACCATAAGGCTGGCCCAACTGCATTGTGCATGTCAGCCATAACTGTTGATTGTAAGTAGATAATGGTTGGGAACTTAAATTAAACTGGCTTATCTAGAAGAGAAAAAATGGAATTCAAAGTTTAATCACATTAATTCATTCAATTGTATGAGAAAGTTAAGGTCTGTAATTAAAAGATTTCCCTACACAATCCTGACTACTCATTTATGTTAAGAGTTAATCATACTCGCATTACTTAATACAAAAACTAGCAGATTTATTTAGCAGTAAAGATGCATATACAAACAGCTTTTCCCAACTGAAAAGCAACATGCATGTTGCAGTATTACTTTCAAAATTGTGCTGTCTTTGGCAACTCACAAACCCTACTCAAGGATTCATAACAAAGCTTTAATAAGTGCCTGAGGAGGAGGAGGTTCCAGCCCCTATTTTCTGCTGTTTTTCTTTTTCCATGGAAGGATGGAGTAGAGTTAGGAAGGAGTCTGACAAAAACAAAGCCAAACCCTAACTTAGACCTGAATCTTACTGTTACTTCCAACCAGAGTACATCCATTAAATTAGCTGCGGCATAGTGAATCAATGCTTATAGAAGAACTTTATTGTCATTGTACATCATACAACAAAATTAAATGCCATCCTTAATACACATTTTATATGTAGAATTACAAAAACAAAGCACCCATCCTTCCACATTCTAATCACTATTGCACAACTCCTAATGCCACATCAGTGTGAACCCATAGAGTTCAATATAGTCATAGTCCTGGGATAAAAACTATCACCCAGCCTATTTATGCTTGTTTTTATTATCCTATACAACCTGCCAGATGGTAATAATTCAAAAAAAGAATATCCAGGGTGAGATGGATCCTTAAGAATATTCTGAGCTTTCTTAAGGTAGCAGGAATTATAAAATGTTCTTCCAAAGAGGGGAAAGGGCAACTAATAATTCTCTGGCCAGTAGTGGTATCCTTCTGGAGCACCTTTCTATCTGCCACTGTGCAATTAACAAACCATTTGTTCATTCGTTCAGTCGTCTCCGACTTCGTGACCTCATGGACCAGCCCACGCCAGAGCTCCCTGTCGGCCGTCACCACCCCCAGCTCCTTCAAGGTCAGTCCAGTCACTTCAAGGATGCCATCCATCCATCTTGCCCTTGGTCGGCCCCTCTTCCTTTTGCCTTCCACTTTTCCCAGCATAATTGTCTTCTCTAGGCTTTGCTGTCTCCTCATGATGTGGCCAAAGTACTTCAACTTTGTCTCTAGTATCTTTCCCTCCAGTGAGCAGTCGGGCTTTATTTCCTGGAGGATGGACTGGTTGGATCTTCTCGCAGTCCAAGGCACTCTCAGCACTTTCCTCCAACACCACAGCTCAAAATCATCGATCTTCCTTCGCTCAGCCTTCCCTAAGGTCCAGCTCTCACATCCGTAGGTGACTACAGGGAATACCATGGCTTTGACTAGGCGGATCTTTGTTGCCAGTCTGATGTCTCTACTCTTCACTATTTTATCGAGACTGGACATTGCTCTCCTCCCAAGAAGTAAGCGTCTTCTGATTTCCTGGCTACAGTCTGCATCTGACAAACCATACATAGATGCAATAGGTTAGAACACTCTCTACAGCACTGCAGTAGAAAGTCACCAGGAGTTTTTCATTCACTTGTTAGTTCCTTAGAAGTGTCATTTAATACACTTTGTGCTGGGCCCTCTTAACCAATGCTGCAGTGAGAATCCCCCAGGTCAGGTTCTCCTTAATAATAGCACACAGGAACTTAAACTGTGTGGATCCCATTGAGTCAATGGTTTTATTTGCATTGAGGCTAACGATAGGTTTCCCAACCTCTGGCCTTCTAGGTGTTTTGGACTTCTGCTCAACTAAGATTTTGCTTCTCTGCACATGGTCTTGAAAACAAACCAACTGATTCTGATCAGCACAGAGGATTCAGGAAGAAGTGATGAAAAATAATGTCTGAGCAACGCAATATATCATTTAATTAAGATTAATTTTTGTTGTTCTTATTTATTTATTTATTTATATACTGTGTGAATTAGCCTTAGTTTTGAACACCTGGTACTCAATTTTAAAAGGAAAATGTTTTATTGTGTGCTGTGCTATGAACATATAGGTATTTACGTCTCAAGGCAAGGAATACTGTTAGATACTTAAAAGATCAGGTGCTGTCTCCCCTTGATGTATTCCTGGGTTGTCATTGCACAACAAGTACCTCTTGCTGGACAGGCCAATAAATGGGTAATCAATCCAGCAACAGCTGTCCAAAGAATGAAGCCAGGCCACATGGGGAAAGGACTTATATAGGTCCTATAGGTCCCATGAGACCTAGCAAAATAATCTGAGACACCGTGGAGGCATGCACAAGGCCTCTTCTAACATGACCCCTGCTCAGTCAGACACTTGCTGTACAGTGGCTGGCCAGACAGCAATTATGTTGCCACTATTGACTTTAGTATAGGAGCTACAGCTGGGGAAAGTGCAGAAGTGATTCCATCTTATAGTCTGAAGGTGATGAAGAGGGTCCAGATCTGAGCTGGATGAATGGCAGCAGCTGGCTGGGGCACTGCTTTACAGTCTTGCCACGTACAAAGCTAGCATGAAGCTGAATATATTCCACAACCACTGAGATTATTGTCAACCTTCACAGCAAGTGTTAGACATGATTATGCAAAGTCAGCATGCACCAGCAATGAACAGAATTTAATAAGACTTACCTTGGAACTATTATTCAACTGAGTTGTTGCTGAAACAATGACATTGGGACCTGTAAAATACACAGAAACACAGAACTCAATTTACAAATAAGTATTGCTCCAGGAGATGCTAATGTCTACCTTTGTAACTGAATATTTCAAGAAAGGTAGAATATATTGTTAGTTGAAGGCGTCTGTTGAGAAAAGCAAACATTATTCTATTTTACACATCTATCAACTGAACGGCAATCTCTTACATGCATTAGCCAAATAATCCTACAGTATAGCAGGATCTAACAAAATTCCTGGCACAAACAGCAGGAGAGGATTTTTGCCTTTGTATCTGGGCTAAATACTGCTGGAAAGCAAAATAAGCATGCTCAGTGGAACCCAATATGACAAACACAGGGATTTAAAGAAAATGTGTCTCCAAAATTCATAAATGGCAGCACTTAGCAACCTGGAGGCCAACTTAAATGACACTTTCTTGAAATCACTCTGGGCAGAATTCTAAACTGTTTGCCTCTGAAGGACATACAAGTATTTCTTGAACTAAAGGCCCCATCTACATTGCCATATAAGTAGTTTCATTATGCAGTTTAGCTGCATTGAACTTCATTCTAAGCGTCCACACTGCCATATAATGAAGTTCAATCCAGTTAAACTGCATAACATAGCAGGGTAGATGGGGCCAAAATGTACTCTGCCATAAGGAGGAGAGAAGAAACCCCATTTTAAATCAATCCTCAAACTTTACCTCTCTATATTACATTAGGTAGCATTGGCAAAAAGATGATGGAGTAGACCAGCAAGGTTCTTCAAAATAGCTAAAACACTTTTCCATACTTTTCCCCTTTGGATAGATCTCTTAGACCCCAATTTTTTGCACTGGATTTCTTATCTTGTTTTAAAAGTGTGAAAAATCCTTTTTAAAGCAACTGGAGAGCCCTTTCTTACTACCACTAAAGCAAACAAGGGTTATCAATTATTTGGCCTCAAGTCAACAAACCACTTCGCCAAAGCAATTTCATAAGACTTTTAAGAAACTACTGCATCACCACTTTTTCCACAATAGCAAAGGTCGGGTGCACCCTTCCAGCATGGCAAAAAGTATCACAAGATACTGGAAAGCAGTTTTACAGAGTAATTTTTCTTGAAAGCATAAACACATTAACTGAATTTTTTATTCTGCAGAGAACAGCATGTCTTTGGGAATAGTTTTCCAATTATAAGCAATGATTCATAGAATCATAGAGGTAGAAGAGACCACAAGAGCCATCCAGTCCAACTCCCTGCCATGCAGGAAAAGCACAAAGCACCCTCAACAGATGGTCACTCAGCTCTGGAGATTTCATAGACAGCAGAATATTCACTTTCAAACAATTCTTGCCATCGGAAAGTTCTTCATAAAGTTTAGATGAAAATCCTGCTATTTGAACCCATTGCTCTGTGTCCCAGTCTCCAGAGCAGCAGAAAACAAGCTTGCTCCCTCCTCAATGTGGCATCCTTTCAAATATTTAAACATGGGTGTCAGCTTTCTTTTCTCCAAGCTAAAAGCACCCAGCTCCCTAAGCAATTCCTCATAGGACTTGGTTTCCAAATCCTCTAATTTTGGCTGCTCATCTTATCCCAGAAAGCTGCTGGATCCATAGCCAATAAGAGAAGTTGAACTCAAGCATTCCAAGGAACTGTATTAGAAGACCTTAATCTAAGTTAAGGGAGAGGAACCTGCATCCAATGGTCCAAATCTGACCTACAGAGGTTCTCCATCTAATTTGTAGAGGCTCCCATAAAACTCCTTCTCAAAGCTGCATCCTCTCTCAGCAAAGAGTGGTCTTTTTTCTATCAGCAGTCAGTCAGGAACCAACAGCAGGAATTGTCTTTCGTGCTCTGTATCAACTACAAGGACAGCATTTCCCTCTTCAGGTCCTGAGCAGAAGAGTCAGGTAAATAATCTCCATCTAGCAGTTTAACCAGGTACTGGACAAAGCTGGGATTCACACAACCCAGCCCCTGTCATCAGGTGTATATCATTTGATGTCATCTGCCCCTGAAGTGGATGACACTCCTTTCAGCAAATATAGTTTGCTACACCCATTTTAAGTAAATATATTTAGTAAAAACATGGGAGGTACGTGCTCTATCCATATCATCCTCATTCCAAACAGATATTTGCACATTCATTATGGCCCTCATATGTTCTGTAAATTGCTGAATAGGTTTTCAGATACATTTAAAATCAAGCTCAAAAACCATACATTTTCCTGTTTTTAAATCATTGCATTGTATTCACAGGCTGCATATTCTTGGCAAACAAGAATACAGACAAGCAATTGAACTTTAAACATCCTGATTAACAGCACAGCCAATGGTGGTCACCCTATTCTGTTGGGGAGCGCATGCCTTTTGCCACCTAAGGAAGAAGTGGTCACCGGGACTCTCAGCATCTCTCACAGCTTTGAATAGTTTGTTTATGCTACTGTCTTATTCCTTTATTTTTTTATCATAAAGAAGAAGCACTGACAAATCTTATTTAAAAGGCAGTGGAAAATATTTATTGAAGGACATGCAGAATATTGTAAAACAAGCCAAGAGGTTAGCTCCATGTGGGAATCAAGATAATTCATGACTAGAATAAATAGATGGCTTCTATCAGACATAGCTCCACATTACACCTGTCCTCTAAACCACGATTAATGATCATAACTCATTATTTGAAGCCATATTGTTTTAAAAACACCAGGGACATCATTAGCAAGATGTCATGGAGCCCCCGGTGGCGCAGTGGGTTAAACCCCTGTGCCGGCAGGAGTGAAGACTGACAGGTTGCAGGTTCAAATCCGGGGAGAGACGGATGAGCTCCCTCTATCAGCTCCAGCTCCTCATGCAGTAACATGAGAGAAGCCTCCCACAAGGATGATAAAACATTAAAATCATCCGGGCGTCCCCTGGGCAACGTCCTTGCAGACGGCCAATTCTCTCACACCAGAAGCGACTTGCAGTTTCTCAGGTTGCTCCTGACGCAACAACAACAACAACAAAAGCAAGATGTCCACCTGAAGACGTATATGATTTGGAGATAAAGATATTTTCAGTTATCTTTAGCATTTTAAAGAACAATGGCAAGCTGAGAGAACTGAACAAATACAAGAATATCATATTCCCTTTCAAATAATCACTTTTATTACATCTCTACAAAACAACTACCTCCAAAATAAACGATTTCTGAGAAATCTAGAAGATTCGCCTGCAGAAGAGAAGGTTGAGAGGAGACATGATAGCCATGTATAAATTGGAAAAAAGGTGAAAATCTTACCTACGATCCCAATTAAGACAGTCAAACCAAAACAGAGGAAGAAAACAGCAATGACCAAGACAAAGTGGCGCTTGGACAGTGTATACAATCGCATTGGGGCCAGCCTGCAAGGGAAAATAATGGAAAGAATTAAGTCAGAAGATCTCCAACAGGAAAGCATCTGAAAAGACTTAATGTTGCTGTTGGTTTTGATGTATAGTACAACTCCTTGTATCACATAGAAATGTGTTACTAGACTTTGTGTGGGTATGAGAATGTGGAAAACAGCACACCCTATTAAAATGAAGAAAGTCTGGTCTAAGAATACCATTGAGTTGCGCTGGGAGACTGAGATATTGCCTAGGGATGGCATATGTTGTCAGGAAAATAAAAGATATGGAAGTTGCCCTGTACTACCAGAAAGCCGAGGAAACATAAAAGTAAACCAATAAATTGAACATCTACCTGAGCATACTTCCTAAAGTTTCTGTTCCCCACACAGTAAACATACCTTATCTGGAATTCTGAAATCTGAAATACTCTGAAATCCAAAGCTGTCTGTATGGATGCCTGAAACAACTAAACCTTTGCTTTCTGATGTTTCAATGTACACAAACTTTGTTTCATGCACAAAAGTATTAATTCAAAACATTTCATAAATTTACCTTCAGGCTATTTGTATATAGTAAATTTGAAACATAGATGACTTTCATGTTTAAACGACAGTCTCCAAGATCTCATTATGCATGTATATGTAAATGCATGTATTCAAAATTCCCTCCAAAAATCTGAAGTCCAAATACTTCTGGTCCCAGGTATTTTGGATAAAGGATATTTAACCACTGTAAAGGTAAAGGTTTCCCCTTGACATTAGGTCCAGTCATGTCCGACTCCGGGGAGTGGTGCTCAACTCCATTTCTAAGCCGAAGAGCCAGCATTGTCCGCAGACGCCTCCAAGGTCATGTGGCCGGCATGGCTGTATGGAGCGCCATTACCTTCCTACCCGAATGGTACCTACTGATCTACTCACATTTGCATGTTTTTGAACTGCTAGGTTGGTAGAAGCTGGGGCTAACAGCAGGAGCTCACCCTACTCCCCAGATTTGTACTGCCAACCTTACAGTCAGCAAGTTCAGCAGCTCAGCGGTTTAACCCCCTGTGTCACCAGGGCTCCCAATAACCTCTGTACACTTACCCAATATGAGCCTCATTGAGCTAATTGAGGCCTACTTCTGAGTAAGTGTGCACTCTAACTCCTAATAGCATAACCCATCACAGCTCTTTACATCTGACACTTTGCTTCATATCAGCATAATTTCACCAGCTCTTGAGCTTTTCATGGCACTAGAAAAAAGGAGAATGTTTGGGTCCTGCTATCTATGACATACATTAAAAAAATAAAAAGCCTGCCCACAGCTGAGCAGATGGTATATATATTTGTAGCTGTGGAACAGTAGATTATCATAATGTCATGATCTTGACAAGCATATAGAATCTTTTGTTGATTTACAGACAACAGATAATGGACCTGTGATACTGTGCAATGTTTACTCTGTCTCCAGAATAGAGAGGTGAATTAACATGTTCCACATGGATAATCATGAATTGAAATGAAGACTGTGCTTACAGCAATGGGGGGGGGGGGGCGACCAGATAGATAAACTATGCAGATATTTACAGTAGGCTGGGTCTCAAAAATACACATTAATCCAACTGGAAATGGGATTAATAATATACTATGTACTCAAAAAGTAATCAGTGTAGCTTTTACCATTGTGCCTGTTGGAAATGCAATGCAAAATTAAAATGTTATTTTGGAAAATATCTCTGGTATTACATTTATTGTACTTGTAATCATCCACTATTTTTTCTTATCAGATGAATGCTATTGGCAGATGAAGAAAAGCATAATGTTTTAGGTCACCTTAGTGATTTTATAGTGGAACCAAGATTTGATCAGGAACAGATCCATAATTCAGACACTTAAGTTTACATCAAGCTCTTGCAAAACTTAAAACACTACCAAATGCTAAAGCTTATTAAATTATTGAAGGACACATCTCTTCAAAAGTGTTCAGCAGTCTACATTTGCCAAACAATCTCTAAGAAAGTATCACCTTCTGCTTCACTCTGATAGAGGTTTACAGGGAAGTGGCCCATTTACAAATATGCTGCAGGGCAAGAAGGTGGAACCACTTCCCAGGGCCCTGAATGTTAAGACATTAGTCATGACGGTACATAAAAGATAGGGCACATGGCAGGAAAGGAGACCAAGGTGTACACTGAAGCCTCCACCAGAAGAAAGTCCCAAGCAGGAAACATAAGCACAAGAAATCGCTCCTTCTTTCAAAGTTTCTCAAACTAAGACCAGATTGTTCAACTTGTTCTTATACTTTTCATAAAGTCATTTTTGAGATAGGTTTTTCCGGGCTATATGGCCATGTTCTAGAGGCATTTTTTTTCCTGACGTTTTGCCTGCATCTATGGCAAGCATCCTCAGAGGTAGTGAGGATGCCTGCCATAGATGCAGGCGAAACGTCAAGAAAAAATGCCTCTAGAACATGGCCATATAGCCTGGAAAAACCTACAAAAACCCAGTGATTCTGGCCATGAAAGCCTTCGACAATCATTTTTGAGAATTAGAACAAACATGCAAAAAGAAAAAAAAAAAGAGTATGGAGAGATCAAAATTACAGCAAGACATTTGCAAAATAGTTAATAATAATAAAACTTCAACCCTAGTAAAGGTTTCCCCTTAACATTAAGTCTAGTCATGTCCAACTCTGGGGAATGGCGCTCATCTCCATTTCTAAGCCAAAGAGCCGGCGTTGTCCGTAGACACCTCCAAGGTCATGTGGCCGGAATGACTGAATGGAGCGCCGTTACCTTCCCGTAGAAGTGGTACCTATTGATCTATTCGCATTTGCATGTTTTCAAACTGCTATCTTAGCAGAAGCTGGGCCTAACTCACCCTGCTCCCTGGATTCGAACCACTGGCCTTTCGGTCACCAAGTTCAGCAGCTCAGCAGTTTAACCTGCTGCTCAACCCTAATGGTCTTTCTAAAAACTATTTTGAAAGCATCACTATGTTTAAAAAAGTAAGTGGGAAAGGACAAGCAGTTGCATTTGTTTTACCAAATTCTTACAGGAATTGCTGCTTGTGGAGCCCCCAATGGAGCAGCGGGTAAAACCTCTCAGATCCTGAACTTGCTTACCAAAAGGTCAGCAGTTCAAATCTGTTAGCCTCAGTTTCCGAAAACCTAGCAGTTTGAAAACATGCAAATATGAGTAGATCAATAGACCGCTCTGACGAGAAGGTAACGGCGCTCAGTGCAGTCATGCTGGCCACATGACCTACGAGGCGTCTGTGGACAATGCCTGCTCTTCGGCTTAGAAATGGAAATGAGCACCACCCCACAGAGTTGGACATGACTAGACTTAATGTCTAGTCATGTCCAACCTTTTAATTTCAAATGTGGCAGTACAAGCTAAGGCTGAGGAAACTTTCTAAGACAGGTGTGAGCAAGCTTGGGCCCTCCAAGTGTTTTGGACTCCAACTCCCACCATTCCTCACAGCCTCAGGCCCCTTCCTTTCCCCCCTCAGCCGCTTAAGCTGAGGGGGAAAAGGAAGGGGCCTGAGGCTGTGAGGAGTGGTGGGAGTTGGAGTCCAAAACACCTGGAGGGCCCAAGCTTGCCCATGCCTCATCTACACTGTAGAATGAATGCAGTTTGACTCCACTTTAACTGTCATGGCTCAATGCTATGGAATCCTGAGCTCTCTAGTTTGGTGAGGCACCAGCACTCTATAGCAGACAACTCCAGGAGCATAGAGTCCCCGCAAGTCAAAGTGGTGTCAAACTGGGTTCACCCCACCGTGTAGAACTCTCGCCCCACTCCCCTCTCGTGCCCCCCAACTCACAGCTCCATTCCCCCACTGCACATGCGCAGTGCGTCGGCTGCGCCTTCTCTCCAGCAGTCGGCCTCGAACGAGGAGGCAGCTCCCGCATCCCAACTACACTCCGTGGCAGCCTCGGCGACTTCCGCAAACGTCACCCGGCTAACAAGCCCCGCCCACTCCGAGACCGCCAGGAGGCAAAGCGGCTCTGCGCCTGCGCGCTGCGGGCAATGCTTTCGATCAGGGAGGTTGGGACGGCGGAAGGAATGCACGCGGAAGGTCCAGACTCCAGAGGGAGGCCTGTGTGTTCTGTTGCCTAGGTGACAGGAAAAGAAGGCGTCCCGCTCCTGCAGGGAATCCTGGGGAGCCCCCGGTGGCGCAGTGGGTTAAACCTTAGTGCCGGCAGGACTGAAGACCGACAGGTCGCAGGTTCGAATCCGGGGAGAGGTGGATGAGCTCCCTCCTATGAACTCTAGCTCCTCATGCGGGGACAAGAGAGAAGACTCCCACAAGGATGATAAAATCAAATCATCCGGGCGTCCCCTGGGCAACGGCGTCCTTGCAGACATTCTCTCACACCACAAGCGACTTGCAGTTTCTCAAGCTCCCATTATTTCATAACACTGTCCCATGGCAGGGAAAGTGGTGTCCATCTGCATTAATTTTCTAGTGTAGCTGCACTCACAACAGCCTCTGGTTGCATTGAGATGTCTCCAGACCAGGAGAACAACACTTGCCATGGTTCAATGCTATGCTGCCATGGTTCAATGCTATGCAATCATGGGAGTTGTAGTTTTACAAGGACTTTAGGGCCTCACCATCTCTGAGGATGCTTGCCATAGAAACGTCAAGAGAGAATGCCTCTCGAACATGGCCATACAGCCCGAAAAAAAACTATAACAACCCTAGAAAAACTATCTGAGACACAGTATAGGGCTATGATTCCCCTAGGCAGGAAGCAGCCAGGCTTTGAAGCTGCAAGGCCATTCCGGCCTAATCAAGACGGCCAGTTGCAATATTCACACTTGCCTCAAGCAGACAAGTTCTTTCGCCCACCCTGCACATTCCACAGATATATAAACATCACTTGCCTAGTTTCCAGCAGACCTCACAACCTCTGAGAATACCTGCCATAGATGTGGGTGAAACGTCAGGAGAGAATGCTTCTGGAACATGGCCATACAGCCCAAAAAACTCACAGCAACCCAGGGATTCCGGCCATGAAACCAGGGCTACCTAACACCTCCCAACAAAGGTTCCCCCAAGCAGGAATCAGCCAGTCTTTGAAGCTGCAAAGCCATTCAATGCTAGTCAAGATGGCCAATTGCAACATTCACGCTTGAGGCTGTTAGGAATTGTGGGAGTTGAAGTCCAAAACACCTGGAAGGCCCAAGTTTGCCCATGCCTGGTCTACACTGACCATATAATGTACTTCAAACTGATTTACCTTTAGGTCCCTGGAAAATATAAGAAACTGACACTTTCTTCCAGTTCAGTTTATTTGTGATTCAACTTCTCTGTGACTTTTGTTTAAGACAGGAGTAAGTAAAGTGCATTCCTCCTGTGCCTTAAGTGTTGCTGGACTGCACTTCCCATCAGCCCTAAGTAGCCTAGGCAAAAATCAGAAATAGTGGGATTTGTAGTGTAAAAACATCAGGAAATAAAGCCTGGCTGCTCATTGGAGGGAAGGATATTAGAGGCTAAAATGAAATATTTTGGCCACATCATGAGAAGACAGGAAAGCTTAGAGAAGACAATGATGCTGGGGAAAATGGAAGAAAAAGGAAGAGGGGCTGACCAAGGTCAAGATGGATGGATGGGATCCTTGAAGTGAATGGATTAATCTTGAAGGAGCTGGGGGTGGTGACGGCCGACAGGGAGCTCTGGCGTGGGCTGGTCCAAGAGTCGGAAACGACTGAACGAATGAACAACAACAAGTACAACAACAATTCTGGAGGCCAAACCTAGTTTCACTTTATGATTTAAGACCCCTTCTACACTGCCCTATAAAATCCAGAGTATCTGCTTTAAACTGGATTAGATGGCAATATAGACTCATATAATCCAGTTCAAAGCAGACAATGTGGATTCTCTGCTTTGATAATATGGATTATTTGACAGTGTTTATTGGCCTAAGATGACAAGCAAAGCTTATCACTGAAGAAGTAATATACTTGTCTTGTGATGTTTTGTATCGTTGTTGTTCACCGCTTTGAGTCGCCTGAGGGCTGAGAAAAGCAATACATAAATAAAGTAAATAAGTAAATAATAAATAATATTTCTATGGGATTTAGTAGAGTTGGGGTTCATCTAATATTTCAAGAAAAGGATTTGAAAAAGTGACTCTATGGACCTGCATTACAAAGGAAAATAAAACTATTCTCAGACTTTAGTCAGTGTAATCTCTATGTAAACTACCTATTAATTTCTTGTATTAGTCGACCTGGGTTCTAATTTTGCTAAACTGTAAAAAGAATAAATTCCAAAGTGCCATTCATCTCAATAGAGAAATAGCTGAACAACCTAAATAGAGTCAGAGGATGGCAGTGGAAGAAACTCACAGCTATTTCCCCATCTTTTAACAAAATCCTTTTAGTAATCATCGGTTGAAAGCCTGCTTCCCAAGAACTACACCAGATAGGACTTTTGAGACAAGGCTGCCTTCCATCATCAACAGCCACGTTCAAATGGAAACCATTTTCACCATGATATTATTAAAACAAAAAACAGAAATGCATTCAAAAAGAGACACATCATCACTTAATTTCCTCCCCCCCCCCCCTCTGTTGCACCAAGGAGGAGAAACTAATGAGAAATTGGAAAGAATGAGAAAGCCTCGCTCTACCAATGTCTCCTCAACTGTTTGCTCCTAAGAAGATCCATTGGTGAGTATGATATTGCTCCTCAGTTGGCTGTTGCCACTGGATGAATAATAAATTTTGTCTTGCTGTTGTTGGTTTCACATTCTGTCAGGTGTCAGCAAACGGAGTTTTGGACTACCAAGAATTCAAATTCCACACAAAATTAGAAATAAAGAGTCTGATGCAATTTCTATTATCATCATAATAGTTAGGAGCTCTAGGTGGTGCAGTGGATTAAACCCTTGTGCCAGCAGGACTGCTGATTGATAGGTCAGTGATTTGAATCAGGGAAGAGCGAGTTGAGCTCCCTCTGTCAGCTCCAGCTCCCCATGTGGGAACACGAGAGAAACCTCCTGTAAGAATGGTAAAACATCAAACATCTAGGTGTCCCCTGGGCAACGTCCTTGTAGATGGCCAATTCTCTCACACCAGAAGCAACTTGAGGTATCTCAAGTCACTCCTGACATGGTAAATAAAAAATAAAACAGTTATTGTTATATTGATTTTTTGTTGCTACGTATGATGATGATGGTGAGGATGAGGATGATGATGACTGGTGCTCGCTGGAATAGGCAAAGGTCTCCGTCTTTCACTCTCTCTCCCACTTTCTCTCTTAGGGCCCTTCCAGATAGGCCCTACATCCTAGGATCTGTTCCGAGGTTTTCTGTTTATCCCAGATTATTTGGCAGTGTGGATTCATATAATCCAGTTTAAAGCAGGAAACCATGGGTCGGATCCTGGGATATAGGGCCAGTTTGGAAGGGCCCTTAGCCCAGTGGTTCTCAACCTGTGGGTCCCCAGGTGTTTTGGCCTACAACTCCCAGAAATCACAGTCAGTTTACCATCTGCTAGGATTTCTGGGAGTTGAAGGCCACAGGTTGAGAACCACTGCCTTAGACTCAAGGAAGGAAGAACAAATCCTTCTTCGGGCCTGTTGATGATTGATGGTGGTGGTGGTGACAGTTTGTTCCCTGCAACAGGCAGAGGCTCCTTCCTCTCCCTTCTCTTTTCCTTTCCTATCCTCATCCTCCTCAGCCTCCCCCCCCCCCCACTTTCTCTGAAGCCAAAGAATGAAGCCAGAGCGAGCAAAAGCCCCCTCGCCCTTCTGGTCTACCTCTCCTACCTGTAGTAGCGCTCCTCCTTGTAGGGAGTGAGGTCCTCCTTGATCTCCTTGTAGGTCTCCCGGAGCCGCTTGCAGATGTGCTTGAGCTCGCCGCAGAGCGGGTTCTCGAAGGCGGGGTAGTCCGCCTCCATGCCGCAGCCCGACATGGGCCCCGCCGCCCGGGAAGGCCTGCCTCGCTTAGGAAGAGGAAGAAGAGGAAAAGGCCTGGCGCCTCCACTGCCCTCGCCCCGCCATGGCCCAGGACGGGGAAGAAAAGACCCAGGGAGAGTGGGATTCGGCTGTTGGGCGAAGGAAGGAAGGAGGGGAAGAAAGACGGAGGGAGGGAGGGAAAGAGAGAGAGCGGGAGGATGGAGAGAAAGGAAGGAGAGAGGGAGGAAAAGGTGTAGAAGGAGAGAGCGGGGAGAGGGGGAAGAAGGAGGAAGGAAAGAAAGAAAGGAAAAGGGAGAGGGAGGGGGAAGGAAAGGAAGGAGGAAAGGAAAGAGGGGGAAGGCAGGAAGGAGAGGGAGGAAAGAGGGGGAGGGGAGGATGGAGGAAGGAGGAAGGAAAGAGAAAGGAAGGAGGGAGGGAAGAAAGGGGGTAGAAGGAGAGAGCTGGGAGGGAGGAAAGGATGGGTGGAAGGAAAGAAGAAAGAAAAAGGAGAGAGGAAGGGGAAGGAAAGAGGAGAAGGAAGAGGAAGGGAGGAAAGAGGGAGGAAAGGATGGGTGGAAGGAAGGAAAGAGGAAAGAGAAAGGAGAGAGGGAAGGGAAGGAAGGCAGGAGGGGAAGGAAGAGGGAAGAAAGAGGATGGTAGGGAGGGAAAGAGGGAGCGAGAGGATGGACAGAAGGGAGGAGGAAGGAAAGATAGAAGGAGGGAGAGAAGGAAGGGAAGGTGTAGAAGGAGAGAGCGGGGAGAGAAGGAAAGGATGGATGAAAGGAAGGAGAAAATAGAAAGGAGAGAGAGAGGGGAAGAAGGGAAAGAGGGAGATCAAGAAGGAAGGAATGAAGGGAGAGAGACAAGGAGCGAGGGAAGGAAGGACCCCAACAGTAACTCCCGAGGGTGGCCCTAAGGCTCCCACAGCCTTCCAGGGAAGCTTGCCAGGCGCAAATGCTCCTCCCGCTCCTCTCTCTTCTCTCTCCGCCTGTTTCCGGCGGGAGTGGACAGAGATCAGCACCAAGGACAGCGCCGCGCTTCCTCCCTCCCCCGCGCAGAATGGCTTTGGCTCCGCCTTAGTGCTGGGGTCACCGTGACGTCCCTTCCAGGGCCTCCCCTTCGCCGAGCAGCAGGGACCTGCCTATGCTTCCAAGCCAATTCTGGCTCCTGGCGACCCTAAAGAGAACCCGTCCCTGGGAGTTCTTGATGGGACTTGCTCAGAAAGGCCTTCTTTTGCCTTTCTCACAGGATACGCGAAATGGCACTCTTCCATTATCCGGGCGAGGCCAGGAGAGGGCGCTAGAGCAGGCATGGGCAAACTTCGGCCTTCCCTCTGGGTGTTTTGGACTTCCGCTCCCACCATTCCTAATAGCCTCGGGCCCCTTCCTTTCCCCCCTCAGGAAAGGACCTGAGGCTGTTAGGAACTGTGGGAGTTGAAGTCCAAAACACCCAGAGGGTCAATGTTTGCCCATGGCTGCAATAGAGATAGAAAGATAGTCAATTTTGCCGGTGGAGGTGGGTAGAAAAAATTAGTTCTAGTTGTGTCCAACTCTGGGGGTGGTGCTCATCTCCATTTTTAATCCGAAGAGCTGGGGTTGTCCGAAGACACCTCCTAGGTCATGTGGCTGGCATGACTGCATGGAGAACCGTTACCTTCCTGCTGGAGTAGTACCTATTGATCCTGTTCCTATTTAATTGCTCTGTTTCCATGATATCTCCTGTGCCATTTATGTTCCTATCCACCTTATTGAACTATTTACCTTTTAATCAATTCGTATGTTGGCCTCCTTCCCCACTCCAAAATTGCGTTGCTGTTGCTTGATACTTGTTTATTACTGTTATGCTGTTTTGTGTCATTTTAATTTGTAACTTGCTGTTGCTTTGCTTTTAATTGTAATTCTAATTTTAATTCCAGACAATTTCACCCTATGTCTGGAAGCTCTGTCAAACTGGCTACATGCTAGCAGACTGAAGGTGAACCCGGCGAAGACTGAGATTCTCTGGCATGGCCGCCCGGCAGGTCTGACTCCTCCATTACCCACCTTCGATGGTGCCGCCCTATCTCCATCGACCACTGTTAAGAGCTTAGGTGTCATCCTGGATTCACAGCTGACAATGGAACCTCAGGTCGCTGCTGCCAGCAAACAGGCCTTTTTCCATCTATGACAAGCGAGGCAACTGGCACCCAACCTATCTGACGAGGCTCTGGCAACTGTCATCCATGCCACAGTCATGTCTAGGCTGGACTATTGCAATGCCCTGTATGTGGACCTTCCGATGTCTATGACCCGCAAGCTTCGTACTGTTCAGAATGCGGCAGCCAGGTTACTCACAAGAACGCCCATGAAATGCCATATAACACCAGTGCTACATTTACATTGGCTTCAAACGGAGTACCGTGGCCTGTATAAGAGGCTAGTTTTGACCTTTAAAACTCTTTACTGCCAGGGTCCATCGTACCTTAGGGACCGCCTCTCCTTCTCCCATCATCGGAGGTTGCAACGACCAGCCCAATGTGACTTACTCCATATACCGGGTCCTAGAGAAGTGCACTTGGAAAGGACCAGACGCAGGGCTTTTTGTATTTCTGCCCCTGCCTTATGGAATTCCTTGCCGCCCTACATGAGAGCCATGCGTGACTTAGGGTCTTTTACTCTCGCACTTAAGACCTGGCTTTTTACTAGAGCATTTGATCTCTGTTAATTTTTATTTTTGTATGTATGTATTTTATCTTTTATAATTTAGTTATAAATTGCCTAGAGCATTCTCGGATGGAGGGCGATTAATAAGTTATTAAATGATGATGATGATGATGTATGTTGTCTGGGCTTGGCCCCATGTAAACCGCCCCAAGTCCCCTTGGGGAGATGGAGGCGGGGTAGAAAAATAAAGTTCTTCTATTGATCTACTCACATTTGCTTGTTTTTGAACTTCTAGGTTGGCAGAAGCTGGGGCTAACAGCAGGAGCTCACACCACGCCCCGGATTAGAACCGCCAACCTTTTGGTTAGCAAGTTCAGCAGTTTAACCTGCTGCTCAAACCTAATGGGCCTTCTAAAAATTATTTTGAAGGCATCAATATGTTTAAACAAACAAGTGAGAAAGGACAAGCAGTTGCACTTGCTTTACCAAATTTGTACAGGAATTGCTGCTTGTGGAGCCCCCTGTGGCGCAGTTGGGTTAAATCACTGAGCTGATGAACTTTCTGACCGAAAGGTCAGCAGTTCGAATCCAGGGAGTGCGGTGAGCTCCAGGCGTGTCGGACTCTGTGGAGTGGTGCTCATCTCCATTTCTAAGCCAAAGAGCCATTACCTTCCTGCAGAAGCAATACCTATTGATCTACCCAAACTGTTAGGTTGGCAGAAGGAGGGTGGGTAGAAGGAGGAAAACATTTTCCCCGTTTTCCTGTTATTCCCCCCACCCATGTTCCCATCATGGAAACAACCCTCCTTCATGAAATAGGAAGTGGGAATAACCAGTGAAAACAGGGTGAAATGGTTTTCCTCCATTACCCCCCCCCCCCCCGGTAAAAGATACTATTCTTCTTTCTCTAGCACCCCTTTGTGGCCCCTGCCTGGATAATGGAACAGTATTCACAAAATTTATACATGAGCTGTCAAATGTAAAACACATTTGAAGACCTATCTCTTCTGACAGGCCGACCTAGCCAGTTTTAATCACAAATTTAAACTTGTATCTGAATCTTTGTTCTGGGTATTTTAATATGTATTTTGTAGAAATATATTTTAGACCCTTGGGGTGTAGCGGGTTAAACTGCTGAGCTGCTGAACTTGCTGGTTCAAATCTGGGGTTTGCTGTTAGCTCTAGCTTCTGCCAACCTAGCAGTTTGAAAACATGCAAATGTGAGTAGATCAATAGGTACCGCTTCTACAGGAAGGTAACGGCACTCCATGCAGTCATGCTGGCCACATGACCTTGGAGGTGTTTATGGACAATGCTGGCTCTTTGGCTTAGAACTGGAGATGAGCACCCCCCACCCCCCCAGAGTCGGGCACGACTAAACTGAAAGTCTAGGGGAAACCTTTACCTTTACAAATATATTTTAATATGTGTATTTTGCAGAATGTGTTTAGATGATTGTGTGTTTTTAGCAATGTTGTAATCAGCCTCGAGCCACGAGGAAAGGCAGGTAAGAAATGTTGGAAATAGCAACCTTCTTCTCACCCCAAGGGGGACTCAGAGTGGTTTACAGATGGCCACTTCAGTACCACACTGTAATACAATGTAACTGTTAAAAACTGTTAAAACCATGTACCTAAATTTGTGGCTGTTTTTCATGTTGCTACATATAAATTCTGTGTTGCACTATTCCTGAATGCCTGACCCCAGAGCCAGGTCTTAACTTTTGTTTCTAAAGACAAGGAGGGGACCAATCTAATATTGTTGGGGAGGGAGTTCCATAGTGAAGGGGCCACCACTGAGAAGACACTGTCTCTCGTCCACCCCAATCACACTTGCAAAGGGGGTGGGACCAAGATCAGGGTGTCCCCAGCTGATCTTAATGCTCTAGCTGGTTCATAGAGGGTTACATTCGGATGTTATATAACCATGTATCTGGAATGTATAGATACATCAGAACATCTTTGATTTACTGCCTAGAGCTTCTACAAATCCACCCTCCATGTACTTCCAGTGGAAATGAACCAAAGCAGGGCTTTTGGGGGATTCCAGTGACAGGTTTACCTAAACCTCAGCTGGTTCCATTTTAAAAAAGAAACGGTGGATATCCAAATACATTGTACCAAGTACATGAGTTGTTGTGAAATGGAAGTGTAATAATCATGCAACTCAGCCATTATTTATATTCATGAGGATTTTGTGAACGATCAGGAAACATAAATCCAATTCATAGACTTCCATTAAATAGCCAGGCAAAACTTGAGGGTTATCCAAATGATTGTAATGGAATATTATAAACACAAGTGTCTGGGTCAAAAATCCTGCTGTGTCAATTTCAGAAGGTGCAATCAGTGGAGAGAGGAATGAACAATGGAAACCTGGATGAGAGTAACACTAGCTGTTGTGAACATTGTTGTTGTTCATTCGTTCAGTCGTCTCCGACTCTTCGTGACCTCATGGACCAGCCCACGCCAGAGCTCCCTGTCGGCCGTCACCACCCCCAGCTCCTTCAAGGTCAGTCCAGTCACTTCAAGGATGCCATCCATCCATCTTGCCCTTGGTCGGCCCCTCTTCCTTTTGCCTTCCACTGTCCCCAGCATCATTGTCTTCTCTAGGCTTTGCTGTCTCCTCATGATG